TATATGGCATCTCACCAGACTTTTTCCCCTCTTTAAAACAAGCACTTACAAGGATAGGGCCTCTCATTTTAAATTAATGACCATTGACAATAGGTTTAATATGGCTGACCTTTCTCTTCTCCACAAAATTCTGAATAACTTTGTAGACAGTCCTATCCTTTTATCAAAAATTAAACTTCGTCCTAGGAGGTACCCCCTTCCCATTAAACCTTTTGCCGTTCCATTTTTTTCGAACCGTCTGTCTCTTCCGCAATCCCTAGACTTTGTAAATTAATGAACAAATATTCGTCTCATTTAGACCCTTTCCATCTATCTATAACCGGTTTCGTCGGCTGCTCAAACTTACTCTAGAAAAAACTTAACAAGAAACGAAGAAATTATTTACCTATTTTTAGTTAAAAATGTACCTTAGCTTTAAGATTGTTTACTCTTTAGACTGTAATTTATTATTAAGATTATTAATACTGTACTTATAATATTCTTTTTTGTACCACAATCATGTCTGTTTAAGATGTAGTGCCTACCTTAAATAGGATAGCAGATAGCTAACTTTTATATTTCAATATTATATATTCATAGTCTAACCCTGGCGGGCCTTTTTTAAATAAATAAATAAATAAATGAAAAGGTGATAAAGACAACATTGACATGATTAATTTTTACTCGAATCCAGGACCTCACTCTTAACCAAGATAATGCCTTTTAGCTTAAATATGAAGTAAAATATCCACGACAGTACTTAAGTTAAAGAATCCTATGACTTAATTAAATAATTTATGGAACTAGAGTAATACACAAACAAGAGAGACATTGTTTGCAAATGTTGCGGGTTAAAAACGTTATATTTACTACCATGCATCATTATTCATCATTGATTAAAAGTTAGTCAATAAAATTGTAAAACAATTTTTTTATACATCTTATTATAAATGCGCACTTTTTCTATAAACACAACACTTAGTGTTTAATGATTTTAATGTAGGGGTTAAAAAAGCGGTGCGGACTACATAAGTACACATTAGATAAAAATATGTATATTTCGGATGTATATAATTATTCATTAAGTTACCTTTAAAGCTTCGCGAAGGTTAAGACGTTTTGATATAAGTAGGCAATCATGAGTAAAATACTTTGGGACAGAAATGAATTATAAGTAAATAGGTTATTACTAAAAGTACAAAACTACAACGGACTAGTAGGTCCGTACGTGATAAGATACATACCTACCATATAAGAATTTTATGTTCCAATAGCCTATCTTGTTTAATTAAAATATTAAAATTATAATTCAGCAATAACAATTATAACAAATTTTAAATGATTTTTATATTTATCACTGGTTATAATTGAAAATTAACGTAAACGATGCCTTTTTAATATCTAAATAAATATTAATAAAAAAGAATACATTTACTTACACGAACTGGACACATGGCATTCATTTAAAACACACTGGTAAATTATCCAGGATTCCAACTCGATCATAGTAGAGGCTGTCATATTCCTATTGAAATTTAATGAGCGCAACACGAATCAAATAAATATTTTTCTTTAATACGGTCACATTAATATTCGTTTTTAGTCAATCACTGGGTCCGAATTGCGTCTATTTATTTTCTTAAATCGTCACTGTTCATTTATTTTGAGTGTATTTTACGAATTTACAATTTTTCGACCGCGCACATGGAATCTCGACTGCGTTTCGCTTACAATGTTTTGTTACCGCCCACGTTAATACAATACGAATGTGAATGACAGTATGCAATATGAACCTAACTGACAGTTGACGTTTATATCTTGACAACTCAGGTTTCCTACTAGACAGTTACTGCTTGTAATGTCAATAATCACTGTCACAATGCTGTCATTGGAGTGCCAGTTATTCAGGTGTCATTTTAGAATATTTTTATTTTTCATGTGCAAGATGTTCCGTGAAGAGAGTGGAGTGCTTTTGTAAATATTGATATCGGTGTGCGACAGCTGGAATATCCGTATTTATCGAACTACTATATCCTTCTTAGTGTAGTGAAAGTTTTATGGATTTACCTTGGTAAAACAGCTCGATCAACCCACACAGGTAATTATTTATTTTATGCGTAGATCCGTTGTACCAACACAGCATTTCGTCGTTGGCTTGCTAATTGTATTATATCATCGAAACGTTTCATATTATGAATTCTGCTTCCTTTTAAGTCAACACTAGGTATCCTTATTGGATAAAAGACGGTTTGCGATTGTTGTGTATAACCTTGAATTTTATAGCTGAAGGTAGTCTTACTTTTAAAAGTCCAAATAACATTGTTTTTAGTTGGTGACTAGTGCAGATGACCAATCTCTCTTTATTAAGGAAGTTAAAATGTATGTGGTCTCAATTATAAGCTAAATATAAATCATTACATTGCAGTCTTTTTATGCTAATTACTTCCTCACAACTTTATGTAAATTAATTCATATTGCATCTAATACTTCTGAATTCAAATTAAACATTGTTTACTGCTAAATTGGTTCATGTCTTTAAATTTTAGGTTCAAATAAATGCACACTAGTAATATTAGTCATATTTTATAGTTAAATATTATGCAAATATGTTATGTTTGTTAAATAGATATTACCATAAAATAATTTTTAAGATATTTTTGATTACATTATTAAAAAATATTGATAAAACAATACAATATTCAAACTCAACAAATTTGATGACCATAGATGTGTCATGTAAGCTCAATTGGTAGAAAACAGCATGGTGCATTAGAGAGATGTTAAACTAATTATCTAAGACAGGAATATCATTTGGTTAATATTATCTAGGAAGCATTAGTTAAGCAATATAATATGAAGAATTTTTGTCATATCAGTATTTAAAAGTCAATAAAGCCATAAACATTAGTACTATCTAGTTTGTATCAACCAATAGTAAACAACTATTTATATCAAATTTGTCATCTGATAACATCTAATCAGTCAGTAACAGTTGTTAACATAGTTTATTAAAATTACTCAGAATAGTGTTTCATTATTATTTTGAACATAGACATCTATATATAAACTTAAATTTGTTTTAATATTGAAATTATCATTATTATCACAAAATTGATTCAAAGATAACTTAGTAAAGATACATTTGTATTCCCAAACAAGTACTTTTATATTTTGGCTTGTAGGAACAATGTAATATATCCCTGGGATTCAAACCAAGGGTTTCACACATATTTAGAACAACACTACAACAGTTACATATGTATATTTGAAGTATATAAAGATTCCAATTGGGAACATATCACCGCATTTGTAATAAGCACAAAAGCAATTTGATTAAGTGTAGATAAGAGCCCATTTCATTGTACAAATGACTAATTCCTAAAAGATTTGTTTATCATTGCATACATCTTGTGATTTGAGATGAATCATATAAGATGTATGCAGTAAAATGTAAAACTTTAATTTGATTAAGCATGGTATTTAATTATCTCTATTGATTTTACAATCTATATGAGATCATGCACTGACCTTTCGTTTATTTATATAGGCATCAATAAGTTCAGATGCATTTCGATTTATTTTATTTATTACTGAATAGAAGAAATTGATGTCAAATCTATACATTCTGTATTTTATGTGTAATGTAGTTCTAAACCATTGCTTGTCGGTTCTTCTCTGTTGTCTTTTTAATTTGTTTAAAATAAATCTATTTTGCATTAAAATTATTACTCCTCCCAATTATAAGTAGTGCACATCAACTAGTATATAAGCAATTAAAAATGTTGCCTAAATAATTAAAAAAAAATGTTATTTACAAAAGACAAGAATGGCTCTTATATATAAGTTGAACACCTACTTTCTCCCGACATATAAAGAATAAAGATATATTTGTTAAGATAAAAGAACTTCATAGACAATTGAATATTTAATTAATACCAAACAAAGACAGAGCTAAGTAACATCTTAATATAGTATGAACAAAGTAAAGTATTATACTAAAAAACATTATGTTAAGTTCTTGTTGTTTATATTGAGTTAACATGTGGAATTGAAAATCCTGACCCTGATTTACTGTTACTACCGGACTGAAACTCAAAAACTGTGATATTATAAGATAAGTCGATAAAGTTTTCACACAGTGAGGAGTCACTCCTTCTCATTTATCTAAAATATTAAGTGTCTACCGATCACTTATTTTAAATTATAATTACCATGGTTCTATATGGGCACAGCATCTAAAAAGCCCAGTTAAACAAGCTCTGATCTCATTTCAATCACTCAACCTATATATGTAGTTTCTCCAACTCATTTGCTAAGGATCACACTGGTCGGTTATTTATAAACTGCTGCCTATTTTGTAAGATGTGTAGGCGGCGCATGTCGCCGACATAATGTTTATTCATACATAATTGGAGTTGGCAGTGTTTTCGTAAACAAATGCAAAAAGTACCGGAAAAGACGAGAAAAATCGTGACTCTCGTGAGCTTGTAAGGAAGTTTTTATTTGTTTAGGAGCCATTAAAATACACTGGTTATGCAAAAGTGTCGTATTACTTAGGTAGATTAAGGAGCGTTACCCGTTGTGTTGCCCGCGTTAAGATATTTTTTATTTACCGGTAGAGTGTAAAAAACCCGTGAAATGTCAATAAAATATAAAAAACATTTTAACTAACAAGAAATGAAAAAAAAACCTTGGTTTTATAAACAGTATGTTGCCTACCCAGGCGTCATTCAATAAAAACTATATGTAACGCAGTCCAAAGTTTATTCAAGAGTATTTATAAAATAACACTAATTTCAGTCCTTAGAATGCAGATTTAATATAACTTATTCTTTTTATGATGCATTTACGAAATTAACACATTAAAATGTTATATTTAAAAAACATAGATAACAAAACATGAAATCAACAATACAAAAAGTTTACCGTTGTTATTCCTTATTCATTTAAATGTTTTGTTGTTTTAGCGTTTGTTTTGTATACATAAGAAGCATTGAACTTTTTGCTGCAGGGTCATCGCCATGGTTATAGAAGCCGCTGCTGACAAACATACGGACGGTAAGTTTTACTCTATACTTAATACAATAATGACAAAAGGCACAAAAAACTAGTGCAAAAGCTAGTGGTGGTCTACCTTCGAATTCAGCCACGACTTCCGATCCATTACTAACGCTACTGAAATAATCAAGACTGTCCAGTGCTGATTTGTTTGATTTGATCGTCTTGACCATTTGATGACCTGTAAATGACTGGCATTATGAAAGTGATATCGCCAGTTCAGCTATCCAGTCCAGCGTGTGTGGGTTTGCTAATTTTTTAACATCTTGTGTGAACAACCTATCGACTTTTGGCAAGTACTCAACTGAAAGGACGGTTTTCACACCAGCCAAATGTGCGTGGCACAAATGGCAATTGACTGTCGAGTTATTGTTGGCATTTTCTTCCATTTTTGAAGCTTCCTTATTTTAGAAAATGTAGTTGTATGACCGTTATGGTTATAATCCCTTCCGACTCTTAAATTTTCTTTGATGAAATTGCTGGATTTTCTGGTTTTGATTTTACCCTCAGCATATGGTACCTACTTAGTTAAGGGTAATTTTAATTATGTGCTGGTGTATGTATTTGTGTAATTGTAATTACGAGGATTTCGTTATGTAAAGTCTGTCTGTGGAATGAATGCGTTAGAGTTTGAAATCTTATTAGGACAAACCCACTAGCCCAAATCTTTGTACAGACAATAATCAAAGCATTACAGCGTGACGGTATTTATGTCAATCGTATCCTGCCATGCTTCACTGCAGCCATTGTTAACTATAAGGTTCCATTTGTGACGTACACAATAAAATGTACAACTCAAATAATGTCGGTTTGCGAAATTGTTAGATTTAACATTGAATAATCCAAAAATAATCACACAATAAAAAGTCCGTTATGAAAATTATTTAGTATTCAGTCAGCTTAAAAAATAATTTGTTAATTTACAAAAATTTTGTGTTATTAAACTTTTATATTATTAGTATATCATGTCATGGCAAATATGAATCAAAAATAAACGTAAAGCCCCTGCAACGTATGATCGTTTTATTACTAAGATACCAACGTCAGTAAACTATTGTTTTTTCCCCCAAGCGTAGAGCACAAAGAAATGAAATGAATGCCTCATCAAAACGTACAGATGAGACCTAAATAATATAATCCATTGAGTTTGATTGTAAAATGAATGATTGATCGATCAGCGGATCCCTGTTGAATTAAAGAGTCTATGAAGATGTCCCTCTTGCTGACTTCTAATATTTTACGTTTCTATCAAATTTTAATATCCAAACCTACAAGAGGTCACAGCCTTCTTGTTAACCGTATGGGATATTTCAAATTGTGTGCCCTCCTCTGACATAGAAAAAAAACTATTACCCAAGACTCACTTAACATTAAAGTAAGTTTACCTTAAGGATTTCGTAACGGTACAATGGTCACGTAATGTGTAACGATTTATGAATAATGCCATGATAAACATGCACCTCATGTTTCAGAATATGTATATACAATATATAACTATTCCCGATAGCGTGCGCAGGTATATTTAGAATTCATTTTTATTTCATATTTACTACTAATACCATTTAAATGTCAAGTACTTAATATATATTGTCTGCCCTACAGTCTGAGTCTTATATATCATATGAAAGTTATTGATTCATTTTAATAAAATCTCTATAGTTATAGATTGCCTAATGAAATATGCAAAAGCCATGTCTCAAAAGTAAAATCTCGTTTGTCTTATGTGGCAACATTTCTGTTTCTGGTTTACTGAAAATTTTATTTACCGGCAGGGATTCGAATCCAGAACCTCTTGCGCTACGCAATTCTAGATAATACGTTTAACAATTGAACCACAATGGTGGTAGAAAGACTTGCTTCTTTCTTCTTTGCCATCTTACACTGTAACTTGAATGCATTCAAAGCATGCCATTGATGAGTTGTATAGTTTTAAAATGTATACATTTAAAATTCGTTGTCTCAAAATTTAAATACAGCATTATATACCATACAACTAAACTCTATCTATGACTTGTGACCAACTTATGTCCGTACTATTTTAACACTCGACTCCATATTACAAGAATTACACGGCAATTTATAAACAAACACACAGTTGTACATAACCCGATTTAAATTTAAAATTAGATTAGCACACCGCGTTGACCTAAAAATGTCTACGTGTTTTGATCTTTTCGTATAGTGGGCTTAATGTTTTGGTAGAAAGGTTTTAAAAACCATGATTTTTGACACGCCAGACTCTTTTAACTTAATAGGTTTTCCTTATGCGGTCTTTAATGTGGTCATGTATATGAAACCTTGGTTTTGTCGTCGATGCTGGCGTCATTAAATTTCGCACAATAAGAACCTTAATACATGAAGCCTGTTGAACGTGATGTTTTATAAGAATCTTGTCCAATTTGCCAACAAATGTCATATAATCAACAGGCACAAGAGTTCCGAGGTCTAGCAAAGCACTAGACGTGCACGATGTTGTTATAAGAAAGCATTGGAGATTTCTCTGTTACAAAATCTTGGTGTTCCTAAAAAATGAAATTATTATTTTTTACTTACGGGTTTTTTTTAGGTTTATTTGTAGGTAGGAAAGTAACTCGGATTGCAAAATTTATGTATTAAAGCCTCAACAGACGTCCCTGGGGACTTCTAAAGGTTTTCGAGTAACTTTTGCGGGTTTATATCCTTGTAATTCTTAAGTCTAATCCGATGTCGACCTCATTCGCACATTCCGCTGAACATCAAAGGTTTTATAGCTTTCGATCCATTGATCTTATGATGAATACCTATATATTTTGGAGTTCCTTTTAAAATTAAATAATTCAGATAATATTATCTACGTGTGATGGAATAAGCAAACATTTTTGAAATTATACTCTCCAGACCATAATTTAAAAGCTTACTTACTGGTCTTGCTGTAAGATTATCTATACTTTTTACGCAGTATAAACCTTCAAAGATGAATAAATTTTTCCGTTTGTTCCACATTTCTCACCGTTTCTCCAGTCCTTTTGGTTACAGCCTGATGTTTTATAGCTTAAAGCCTTCCTCAATGGTCCAAACAACATAAAATAATTTTTTAATTCGAACCAGTAGATTAACTTTGTTCCTGAGATTAACCTGTTTAAGCAAACAAACTCTTTAGCGTTATAATATTAGTATAGATGAACAGTACTCGAAACACGTTAAGTATTATTATTAATACCTCCTTAGATCGAGTAACACTTCGGCCAAGGGCGGGCGGTGATGTGATGGCTCCAGAGCGCTCCGTCAGCACTTTAGACCTCGCGATGTCTTACTCAGCCCCGTCCAATTTGGTGCTCACACCAGCGCCGGAATGTAAGTAATATATCTAGTTATACGAGGCCGCTAGAGGCAGAGTAGCTTAACTGAAATTTTATGACTTGAGTTATTTATATTCAAATAGTCTAAACATGGTTTTTACAGAAATAATTGTATCACATTTTTGCCTAAGTTGATTGCGCATTCTTATTTTCCTTCTTATTCAAAACATGGTTTTTTTTTTGTTTTTAGGGTACTCTGCCTCTAGTAGCCTCATAGATGCCCGTATTATTTTGTATCATTGTCTCATAGTATTTACAAGTCGAAGAACACCTTATGTATATTAATAAACACTGTGCTTTGAAAATTCTCTTTAATTTTTAAAGATACGAACACGTGACCATATTTATTTTTCTGTTGGTAACGCCTAATAACTTGCATATAAAATCATTCAGAGAACCAGCAATGCATGCAATATTGTGTTTAGGTATGGTCCCCATATTTAAATTTAATTATTATATAATTCATGTTATTTCATTCATAGCACATTTTATCAAAAACTGTCGAACTCTTTCTGTATGGAAAATAAATTAAACATTTATTGTTGCACATGATGGCATTATTCAAACTAAAAATCTTTTATTTTACTATATTAAACATTTTTTGTATCGTGGAAACGTTTTACACACTTAAATAGTAGTACGAAACACGCCCCGTCGGAATAAATTTCCGTCGAAAATTCAAAAGAATATAAAAGAATTGTACAATGTATTTGCTAACTTCGTAACACGGGGGTGGAATTTCAGTTGAATTACTAATCGCTGCCACGCCATGAAATAAACGAGGGGTTGCAAGGACTTTTGGAATGTCAAAAGCCTTGTCGACCTTCAAAGATTTTTATATTATCTGTTTATGGGTACGTGAAATTTAAATCGAGAATTCAGGAGTTTACGAAGAATACCACAGTTGTAACTTGTAACATTGAAATGGCTGTCCAGCTGTAAAATGTTATTGACATAATTATGATTAAAACTCTTTAACGGTTTGAAACGTGAAATATATTAATTAAACTTGTTTCAAAATTATTTTAACTAGGACCTGAAGTTTCGAATGGTTCGGAGTACCATATTTCGCGTTTTAAGCCGTTGATAAATCGTAATGATTTTATTTAATTATGTACTCGCGTAAACTAGACAGGACATGATTATGATTACATAATTCAAATATTAATTATAATTCGCGTGCTAACTGAAATGCTATCTTAAGTAAATTATATTAGGATTTAAGACAAATTATATAAACTTAATGCTTTTTATTTCTTTCAGGTCGCAAGCTCTCTCGCGGTATATCTCGTGCCACGGATAACGAAGGACTGGTGTGGGCATTGCGATCAAACACAGAACCAGATCTGAACACCCTTACCTCAGACCATATCCTCCTGTTGCCGGATATATCTGTATATCCGCCTGACTTCAGGTAATTTCCCATAACTTGATATTACATTATAATTCCGCTTGTTATCTAACTTATGGCACAAGGGCCTGGATGGTATAGAGCAACGAAGCTTCTCTTAAAAAACAATTGAAACACTAAATTATTATCATAATCCTTCGACGGGCTCGTTGGTTCGTTCTCCAACAGCTCCAACGTGTTTCTGATCTTTCAATTTATAATTTTTCTGAAACATGTTGGACTTCGTCTGGATCTGGATACTAAATGAGAAAAAAGAGTTCCGTCTGGGTCACGAATCCCCGTACACAGATGAAAAAGCCGTGAAGCAATATCGCGTTACGGTTTCAGTCTGTAGATTTCCGAATATCCAAAGTCAAAATAGCTCGACAGTTTAGATGATATAGACTGGGGATACATCACCATGTCTGTCCCCTCCTCTATCATAAAAAACAAACGGTGGTAAGCTATTTTCCTAAACATGAATCACGAACGCCCGTACTGAATAAGTACTTTAAATATAAAATTGAATTATTGACATAGTATTTTGGATAATATGAATCAGTCCGTTAATCAAAATACTTTCAGCACTCACAGCGATAGAATTTCGTGTCTATAACTCTTATATCGTCCAGTCATCGCGATATTTTCTATTCGCATGTGCTTGGCAAATGGCCAATGTAACACGCTACGTCTGACCACTATGGGGCCCGCACACACAGTATTTATTGTCTGTGTATATCATCATCAATCATATTAAATGTGATGGTGGGAAATGTCCTGATCGATTTATTATTCAATGATTCTCCAAATCCTTGCGTTATTAAAAGTTAGAAAAAATGTTGTTCATGTAATCCACTTTTTTGTATAATATAAATATGTACTTTGAGGGTGATATATTTAATTTTATAATAGTTTTAAGTCAAAATGGACACCTGTCTTCAAATTGCTACCAGATATTTAATTGGTAATAGATAAGTAACCACAATTCAGTAATAATATTACAATTCCTTTAAATCTCGTTCTACTTATACGAATTTATTGTAAAGCGAATTCTTAAACAGTGAAACTACCATGTATGCGACGTCTCATCGATAACCTTGGGCGTTTTTGGTCAGTCCACTTTAACCTTTCAAAAACAACATCACAACAAATCCGTAATGCCTATAAAAGGGTGGGTGGAGAGAAGGTTAAAACATTGTTATAATAACTTTCTATTCTATTGTCTATTGTTTTGTCTGTTTGTTGTATCTTTAATTGTAAAAGTATAAAAACAATAATTGTAGATAGACTTATATTTTTAAAATGTTATTAGTTAGCTAAACTACTCTTACTAATATTCTTTTAAATAAAAACTTTACGTGGTCACGGCTGCTGGAAGCCTGTAAAGCATCAGAAACGTCGGGCCATAGTAAAAACTTTCTCCAAATAAGTTACCTAATGTATATCGCGTTTTAAACCGTAAAGTGTTTTATTTAAATGTGTACTCATCGCGTAAGCTACATACAGAATTTTACTATATTCTTTCCAGGATATTTATTGAAAAGGATCTTCTAGAAACGGCGACACTAGTTACCCTGGAATCTGCCAGTATCCTGAACTGGTGGCGTGGTCGCGTCCCAGGTGCCCCCCGACTACTACCATTAGCGACATCTGGTGATGGAAATTGTCTTCCACATGCCGCCTCTTTGGCTGCCTATGGCTTCCACGATAGATTGCTAGCATTGAGAACGAAAGTACAAACCTTGCTGTCTGGTGAAGAGGGACAGGGACTCACTGGTAAGTTTCCTCACGAATTTCCCACTGCTGGGACACTTTTTTGCAACCGTAAGATCCGGGAGCGTTATTCGTTTTTTTTTTTAAATATTATATGGTTCTTCTGAGTGAGTTTTTGAAATATTAGTTCGGAGTTATTGTTTTTTTCTTGGTGGAATTCTTATCTTAAAATTAGATAAGTAATCAGTTACAGTACTGTCCCATTAGTTTCATGTTATAGCGTTTACTAAAAAGCCGTAGAGAATGCTACAAAAACTATAATTGCATTTAATTTTATGAATTATCAAACCATTGTCTAAATGTATTTACGCTATTTACTTTAGATGCAATACGACGACGTTGGCGTTGGTCGGAGAGCTTATCGCTAAAATCGGCCGGCCTCACATTATCCGAGACGGAATGGGAACGCGAATGGGCGGAGTCTGTCAAAATGGCGTCAACGGAACCGCGCCCGAAGCACCAGCCGAGTGCCGCGCCTCATTACTCTGGCCTGGAGCAGTTACATGTCTTTGCGCTTGCGCATGTTATGAGGCGACCCGTCATTGTATTCGCGGATGTCGCTCTAAGGGTAAACTATTATTAGTAAAAGTAAAAAATAAACAATAAATTGTGTAAGGCTTTCATGGCTATCGTTTAGCATATCATTGTTTTTCGGGCTGTTCAGTCGACGTGAACGAGAAGACGTTCACGGCGTTTCGCCATCACGAAGGGACGGTATCATCAGGAGATGGTAGCTCCTCGATTGGTCGTATACTTTAACTCTATATATTATTGTTTCTCGACCGAACAGCCGGAAAACCCCAAATATGCAATTAAAAACACGTTTTCAATGTAGTAGTAGTGTATTTGTAGCCTAACACTATGTATTTAGTATTTATTTTATTTTTTAGGATTTTCGCGGTGACCCAATAGCGCCAATACCGTTCGGTGGTATTTATCTGCCCCTGGAGCTTGATCCAGCTTCATGCAGCAAAGCTCCAATACTCCTAGCGTACGACGCTGGCCATTTCTCAGCCTTGGTACCTTGTGAGCCGTTGCCAAGCGATGGTGCAAGGGTTCCTTTGGAAGACCCCGCGCAGAATCCGCTGCCTATTCGGTGTGTATAGAAGCCGTAGGATAGTTAGATAGTACATTTATATTGAAATAAAGTAATATTTCTTTTTTTTTTAATTTTACTGAGTTATGCTTATATTAAATACTTCCTGTGGTTTACGCGAGTAGTACACATTTAAATAAAACACTTTAACGGTTTAAAACGCTATATATTAGTTAAACTTGTTTTATTTCAATATGCTTATATTTTCTTAAAAAATGTGTCGCTCGAAATTACATACAGAAGTATTCATAAAAATATAAAATAAAAAGGATCTTGTCTTCGCCCTACCCGCCTGTTCTCATTAGGTAAAAAATTATCTTCTATTCTTATATGAGATTCTATTCCCTTCTTTAAGTAAATCAATATGTTAAAATAAAGGAAGTATTTATCTATGGTCTGTTTTCAGGTTTAATGTAGACCCAGGCCAAGACTTTCGCTGGGACATCGAGCCGGACCAAAAGACCATCAACAACATGCTACCAGACGAATTCCAGCGGTCAGCTATGTTGGAGGCCTATTTGGACCTGGAGAGAGTGGAATGTCTGCAAGGACAACCGCCTGAAGAGTTGAGACGGTCCTTAGACGCGCTCTCCACTAAGAGTTCAAAACAAATGAATTCGGTGGCCAAGCAGTTTGGGAGCATTGGCAGGTTTGAACAATATATACATAATATCCTTCTATTATTCTCACTTTACGAGTCCTAAAAGGACTTTAAATATATAGTCTACTCGCCTCAAATATATATTCCCTCAAAAGATAAGCGATGAATGGTATATGTATAATGTATACTAATATATAAAGCTAAAGAGTTTGTTTGTTTGAACGCGCTAACCTCAGGCGCTAGTGTTCGAACTGAATTTTTTTTTTGTGTTGGTTAGAAGACGCGATATGACTTCCAGGAGAGATGAATCAGTGAGTAATGTAAAAAACCCTGGGTTCAAGATATCCAAAAAATATGTATCGAAGATTTATCCTCTTTAAAAAATAATCTGAAAAAAAATGTCCCTGACAGTTTATCTTTTTAAATTTAATAATTAATTTCATACACCGCTAAAATAATAATTGCTAAAGCCTAACGTTAGCTTGCAGGTGGCAAAACACTGATATCAAAATATTTAAGTCTACTCTTATACGCCATATAACGTAACGAAAGTTGTGCCTTGCTTATATTAAGTATTTTTTTGAAAAGCACTTGCAAAAATTATCTTAACTAGTAACTATAAAATACACATTTTTCAGATCGATGAGCAGCAAGTTGAAAAAGAACTTTGGCTCAATGGCCAAATTGACCGGCAAACTTAGTGGGAGTCAGAGTAATCCCGAGCATCTAGTGGAAAGACAATCCACTTGCGAGGTGCTTTGCTGCAGGGTGTTGGCAGCTCGAGCGCCTGTTCAAGAAGAGATGGTAAAGAACTACCTGAATGAGGCCTGGATCGGGTAAATACCATTTATCTGTAGGATTGATAGATTATCAAATCAAGTTCTGCAAGTGGATTTAAAATCAAAACTTACTATTAATACTATTTCTTAGAAAAAAAGTGGCTAGGCATTTATTAAACCGAGTTCGTGGGCTTGTGATTTTGTACATGTAAATGTAAACAATCGTATGCATTACAATATCTGGCTTCCGGCAATTATTGATTTTTCTCTTAGAATACTAATATTTCAATTAGTTAGTCTATGTTTTGTTACATTTATATTAGATTTCATTATTATTAACCAAAACTTTGCATGTCGTGTCTGCGTATTTGTACAATTTTAAAGATTGTTTCTTTGTTTTTTGGTATTGAGCCCAATCTGTAATAATTAAAGTTTGGTTCTGTAAATCTTTAATATATTGTCCGTTGTACTAATTAATTGTTGTTAAATTAAATACTTAATTTTTCTTTCTACACTCAGGTATACAGCAGAGAAAAATCGTAAAGAAGAACCTCCAGCGCCCTCCCAGCCCCGGTATGGGACCGGCCGGTCTCAGTTCTACGCCGAGGCAGACCGGGCAGCCCACGACGTCGCCAAAACCCTCACGGCGAGACCCGTCAGACCAGCACAGGTAAAAAAATTGCGTATTGTAGGGACGTAGTTATTACATATTGTATTCTTAATATGTGTATACTGTTTATCTTGTGAAATATTACTTTGTATAACGCCTCGGAAACAAATGGTTTATTTTAATGTATGCATTTATTATTTATAACCACATAAAAAGAGAATACATCTTCGTACTAACTTATAAATAAAAGTCGGCGTTGTCGCTAAGCAGGCAACCTGAAGTACTGAAGAAAAGAAATAGAAAATGTCTTATTAAGTGGGTGGGTGTAAGAAATAACAAACAAAAGACAGGTACATCGTAAAAGTATATATAGCAAATGGGGGAGAAAATAGCTTAAGATACCAATTAACTAGAAACGTAAGCATTCGTTTATATTACTAATCACGCTTCAATGTATACAGGCAAGTCAAAAAATATCAGGCCAGAATAAAAATATATGAATGTTTGGTTCATTAATAAATTAAGAGCATTTTAGTTGTAATTGTAATCCAGTTTTATTGATTTACAAATCTTTTTTTTCCAGGACCGAACTCTCTACCTGTCCAAGTCGACATTTTACGACGACCGACCGCCCTCCCCGAAGCCCTGCAGGGCTCCGCTCTGCATGTACTACGGAAGTCCCGCGTACAACGACTATTGTTCGCGATGCGCCCAACTGCATTAGTTGCCAGTCGCTCTTGGATTTCTTGTGCAACTTGTGTTTTTGAGTAAATCCAATTTTCTTTTTACATAGACAACATATAGACAAAGGGATATGCTCATTTTCCATAGTGTCTAAACCGAATATATATGCATATATTTCTTTCTTTTGTTGGTACATAATAAAAAAATACATTAGTTCTGCTTTCAATACATAGCAAACATTTTGAGAAAAAAATGTTTAAATGTCCGCCAATGGCCTGAAATAAGCATTACCCTTTGTTATAAATCCAATAACGATATGAAATAGCGAGGGAATCGAATCGAATTTCACTTCTTCAATGAGCTTACTGAGTGTTGAAATATTCAAAATTGTGTATTTTTTAAGGCATAAGCAATAAATTAAGTTATTTTTGTTAGAAAACTATAATAGTTTGTGGCCGATGAAAAAGGGGTATAAGTAACTTTATCATTCTGTATCAAAAAATTACAATGATACCAACACTTAATTATTTTAGTAAACTAAAAGTATATTTTTATAGTGTAACACAAAATTCAAATTAATATTTTTTATAATAACACTGACAGGCTGTAACGAGAATACTTAATTAATGCCTAAGTATAGTATTAATGTAGTTTTTTAACTTGTTGTTGTTTTGTTTTTTTTATTTATTTGCTTTTAAACAGCACTAATAGTCAGTGCCAAACAAGTTAGTTACCGTATTGGCCAATAACAAAAAATCGGCACTTCCAATCGGTGTTCGACATAATTATATAATTCTTAATAATACGCAGCTTTTTCAATTTTTAAGAAAAAATTGCAAACTATTTTTTTTTATAAGAATAGCATTGGTACCAACACATTGCAAACTACAGATCTTTCTAGAAAAATGCGAAAGTCTCGTGTTCATGACCTCAGTGCCAGGGTGTAACAGAGTATGGTATGATATGGATAGATTATAAAGTATTTTTCGGAATTTAATTAGTCTAAGATATATTCAAAAATTAATAACTGCTTATTAATTGTAAGTTGATGACCTCCCAAAGAGGATGCATATGCGAAGATAAATTTTCTCACTAATATAGATATTCACATAGATTTGAATAGACAATAATATCAATAAAATCATCATAGTTCCTAATTGTCTTCGAGAACGAAATATTTTCTGAAAACACATTTGCATAGAGCTCCTTCCAAGAGAATGATATATAGAAAGATTTGGTATACACACATCTAGTTATATTTTTTAGATTATTCTCCTATATATAGATTTTTTGTGTCATTTGCATGACAATAAACAATTAACAATATTCGTACATTCTTTGTTAATAACCTGTTCTTGAACAACAATAACCATATCAGAACTGTATTATAATTTATAAGATATACAACACACTAAGGGGATTACTCATAGTGCACCATATTTTCTTAAAGTTTTACAATAAGAGCTTAACTGTCACTTCCAAACTGAGCTTTGCAGACCTTATACTAAGTAATTGAGTTTTTATTTAGATCTTCTAGTCCTACAATCTAGTAATAAGTTAATATAACGTAAGATTTTATAAATTATACTTTACCACGTAATAAAGAGCTAGATACTCAAATTTGTCTTAAATGATGGTTTCATAGTATTGTGTCCTAAAAATATAAAATTAAGATAACTTGTTTTGGGTATTTAGCTAATCCATAACCCACCTTATTATTAATTGTAATCATCATAGATACATTTATGTTAAAATAATATAGAACTGATTTCTTGATTATCTGTGAGTAATATTCATCATATGCCGTAATGAAATATATCAGTGTTTTGTGAAATAAAAACTGAGATAAATAATTACAAAGAAATATCCTCCCCCTTTTACTAAAAAAAATGGAAACTCAATTTTAGTTATTTTTATAAATACATAGTTAATAAATCAGTTCTATTTATAGCTATAAAAGATCTGTGAATGTATAACTTTAAATTGTAATGCATAAAGTGAGTTACATGACAAAATCTTTAACAATAAACTGTATGTATTTGTACATACATAGTTAAAAAGTTGTTAAAATGTTAATGTTATATTTTTGCAAATCGTAAAGTGTATAACTATTTAGACTAGTGTTTGCATATCATGTTTTCTAGAAATATAAACCGTTACTCTATTTTTGTTGTTTGTCTTATCTCTTATATTATAGTATATTTGAGTAAACATCTTGAAATACTTCGTAAATCCTTATGTTCTTATCCTTATCTGTACTCATCCTAGCAAGTAAGTAGAAACAGTCGCTATAAAAACCGTCCTTTAGAGGCAAATTTTAAAACGTTTTAAAATGAACTATTTTTTATTTATTTTTTAATCAACGCGTCTTAAAGAAATACTATACTATAATATATAATACTTTGTTCTCTTTAAAATTATTTAGATTCGTCAAATTTCTTTTTTTGTTTGTCGTGATTCTACAGAGTGTTCAAAAGAGCAACATAACTGAGAAGAACACCCAAGAAACTGAGTCCGGCTTTTATAAACTTGTCTTATAATTACATACATTGTGAATTTATCAACTTAGGGAGTAATTCATATTACTGCCAGGCGCTCTTTTCATTAAAGAAATCGTTTAGACAATACGCCTTTTGAGAGAATCTAAATTTTATAACTTTTTAAAATTTATTTATCGATAAATTTAACACCTCAACTGGCAATGTACATACGAATACAATTCCCCGCAAATTAATTAGATTTTTTATGGAGCCTATATTTGGGGATAGCTAGGTTAGCTTATTTCGTAAGTTCATTAAATTTTAATGTTCAAACATAAAAAGTAACTTTCCTTTAAACTAGTTTTTCCCTTTATTGAGTGATGGTTCCATGCATTAGACTGTCGTTTCGATGTAAGCAAAGAAAATTTAATTACTTATTATGAACATGAGAAAAATGACAGCTTCCTGGAAAAAGGGGATTATAGAGTCATCTAGTGCGCGACTTGAGTACTAAGATATATATATCCAGTAGCTATACATGTAAGTCCTATTTTTATTTACTTGAGTTTAGAATTGTAGTGTATAAATATAGTATAAGTTTGAATTTGCTTACTGCTTTAGCTTGTACGGGAAAATTTTCGTTACAGCGTGCAATAAAGATTTTATTATCTGTAGACTACCATAACAATTTTTTGGGTTTATACTCTATTTGTAACATGTAAAGTCAATTGTCAAAACATACTAATCAATTTGTCAAAACAATTCGCCAAAAAGGAAAAGATGCATTTACCGAAAATCTCACATTTAAGTAAATACATTGAATAATATTAGTGTGAACAATGTCTGGTGGTCTAATAGATAAAGTTTATATAGGCCTGGATAATGCACCAGCTGCATTTGACATAAAATCTCGTATATTAGGCCCTGTGGGTATCCTAACGCATTTTTGGTATAATCGGTGTTTTAAAGTGTTTATAACTAGAGAATTTCGTTTACTTACAGAATGGGACTAATTTAGAGTATATAAGATCTGAAACTGGTGTTGTAGCGGTATTGAAAAGTGACAAGTTTGAGCCGCTGCATTTGGCGTTGCATCATACTCGGTCAGAGGCTCTAGCGGCTGCACGGTCATTGGCGCAGAACCTTATTGAGACCATACGCGCTGAGCTGGCTCAGTGGAGCGCTGCACAGGCTGGTGGGCCACCGCCAGCCCTAAATGTACCCCCTCCCGCTCTAACTACTAGTGCACCACCTTCCGTACCCCCGCCTGTTGTAACTGTTGCGCTTTCTTCTACTTCAACCTTAAACACATCAACCAATCCTTCAGTGATCCCACCAGTAGTCAGTGTTGCCCCTGCCTCTACACCGTTAATGACTGTTCGGCCACCAACAGTACTGCAGTTATTACCACAACAGCAGTATGTTCTCAATCAAGAAAATGGACAGCTGATACCAATAGTTCAACCAGGAGTTCAAGTGTCAAACACTAATTTCACTTCTCTACCAATAGCGCAACCATTAGGAAGCTTACAACAGCATAATTTTGGTCCTACACAGTTAGTAGATATCTCAAATGTGCAGCCGGTCAACGTAACACAGTTAAGGCTTAGTGGAGTTCCTTCTTCAATGTCTATGTTGTTACCTAATGGTTTGACATTCCCACAAGCCACTTTCAATGGGGCAGATACAACTGTATGTTCTGCAACAGCAACCCCAGTGGTATGTGCAGCTCAGAGCACAAGTTCATCTCAAAAGATCTTCTACAGCACAGATAAGGGTGATAAGGATATTAGATATCACATCCAAGGGACAGATATGCAATGGACAGTACCTGGGTCACAGACTATGATCATACCATATCAGCAATTGCAAGACCTGACAGCTAATCAAGCTGGTTTGACTAATTTGCAGCCACAACAGTTTGTTTCTGTAAGTACTGTTTTATTAAGTTTATTTATCATTCTTACTACTTTGCTTTATGAAAGAAGATCTCATGTCTACCTACCCCATAGGACCATAAATGTGTTATGTTCAAAATTGTAGAAAAGATTTACAAATAAAATATGTAGTAACTACAGCCTGCTTTGACTATCAGTAACATTTATTTTAGAATAGTTAAAGCAAAGTATCTTTATTGTACTTTCCATAAATAAGTATTCTTTTAACCATTTTGAATATTCTTAAGGTTTATTTAGGGACATCTTTGTTTCCCTTAACTACCTGTAACTATTGTATTATTCCTATTTATTCTTTATAGAAATCTGGTAATTTTAATTAATAAAAAATATTTTTCAGATTGCACCAGCAAACAGCTTTCAGCAGACATTACCTTTGTCTGCAGCTCAACTTCAGCAACTGCAGGCAACTGGTACTATAATGCAGCTTAATCAAAAGGTTTGCTAACCCTTTTTATCACACCCTAATTTTGATGTTAAACATTGGTTGTGTCCATTCGAAGAGCATTTTAAACCTGTTCTAATTTTGGTTATCACTCAATCAACATTGATTTAATAGTAAAGCCCACCCAACCACTCCGGAGCAGTAAGGTGGGTCTAAGCTTCTTTAATTGTCTCTCATAGAGAAGACTTATCTCTAACAGTGGGGTACTACAATATTGAAACAAAAAACCTTGGTAAAATGTTATGAAGCACATTGCCATCTACATATAATATATAGATCAATCAATAGATTCTGTCGATTTTAATATCAATAATTACTTTTGTATTGTACATTGATTAGACATTTGTTGTTAATAGTTTTACATAATTATATAGTTTATGCTGTAAACTCTTATATAATTAAAATATTTTTCAACAGCCTATAGCCAGCAGTGCCCCCCTAATTAACATAATATCTACGGGACAAGCGTCATCTCCTCAAATTATATCAGTGAGCAAATGCAATATGTATTAATATTAGCATTTCCACATACTAATTTTATTTTTCTTAGCTTACACCTTAATTTTCTTTTGTCAATAATATTAGCCTTTTTGGACCACTGTTCATTAGTAGACACTTGAATAAATCATTTTCAGGAACATCATTAAAATATTTAATGAACTTGAACTCGTACTCTCACTGCAAAAAAATGATGTAACAAAAAATAATGTTTATTATATTACTATTTTCTTACAACTTTAATTGAGAAAGTTTCCCTATGTTTGTGTGAAAGTTATGTTAAAACTATCATGCTATATCCGATAACAAAAAAAAGAAATAATAATTTTACAACATAAAGTAAAATAATCTTTAATTAAAATATTATCCACTGATCAAATACCTTGTGCTCCCTACACTTTAGAAATGAAATAGTATTGCTCGATGTCTTATCCCCGCTAACTTATTGCTAATACTTAACTTGTGCATTCACCCTATGGTTTTTGGGTTCTAAATGTCTCTAAATTACTTAAAAGTGTCTTATTCGATGTAAAGCATATGTTTGTTACTTTTTAGACTTCCACCAGTAAGACCATAACTCATGAATCCCGAGGGCAGAAAAGATTGTCTGATGGAACACCGAGTCAACTTCAATTACGACCTATAGCACCAGCTGGGTAAGTTCCCGTCTGCAATCTCATTAATCACCTCTTAAATTTATTAGGCAGGTTACCAGCATCCAAAATTATAGCAGGGCAACACCATCTTAGTTTTCGATCCACTAATTTACTAGATATCAAATTTCAGGAAAAACTTCAACCTCCAATTGGCTTATTAAATATATTATATATGTTAAATATGTACCTACCATCATATTACATAAAAATAATCACAAATATACATTTCAAACTTAAGTTTAGCGTCCTCAAAATAACGTCACATTTTTTATTAATTTAGTCGTTTGATAACTTGTAATCGTACATTTAGTACAAAACTTAATAGAACTTACTTAATACTGAATTAGTAGCATCGCAAGTATCGCCCAAAAGATGAAAATTTATTTTTTTGATCTCTCATGTGTGAAACTTCCTTTTGGAACTTAATTATTAGCTGACCTGGTTAATTTAACCAGAAACAAATGACTGAGACTTTGATTATTACCGTTTTTTTTTATCTTGGCTTAGGTGGAAAAACGATTTGCTCCGAAATACTTCAAAATTTTTAAACTACATTAAATAATTCTTGCGCTAAATAGTATCTACTCAATGAAGAATGATCTAAATTAGCAGACTTCCATTTATTGGCGCCAACTGGTGGTATTTAATTACAAAAATAGTGTGATATATATGTTGTGTATGTGTATATTGTTTCATATGGGACAGGTCGCATAGCCAAGACAAGCCGTCGACGAGGGACAGCCGCACCTGGACACCAGTCGCAGGTACATTGAAGATCACGATTTAATAACCGACATGGTAGTTATATTGAGCACGCGTAAAAAACTTTCAATATTAAGTTATGCGTAAATTCAAAAATTGTTCTCCTAGCGCGTAAAAAGGGTTTTCGACCTTAATACGTATTTGCTTGAGGCTGATTGCGTCATTTATGCGTAAACGTAAACTAGCTTTCCTTGCGCGTAAAAAAGGTTTTCGACTCTAAAGCGTATTTGCTTGATGCTTATTGCGTCATTTATGCATAAAAGTTAACTTGTTCTTCTTGCGCGTAAAAATGCTTTTCGACGTTGGTGCTACTTACTTGACTTGCTACGTACTTGCATGACGTTGATTTGCGTCAATTTATAATTTGATATACGAGTAATTAGCTGTACGTGAAAGAATATCAAATGTTTAAAATATTATGCGATACACCTAAACTTGTGCTGCTATGTATGTAGATGCTAAGTAATCATAAGATATATTTGTATAAATTGTGACTTTGTAGCGTTAAGCAGGTTCTACCTTATACCAGAGTATTCTGATTTAATTTCTTTATGTAGTTAGTATATCACTATGTATTTAGGTTATTTTTCAACTTCCATTATACCAAAGCGACGTCGGGGTGTCCTGATACTACTAAAACGACGGTCGAGTTTGATATATAGCGTTAGATGATAATGAATTTGTTCTAATCGAATTCTTAACGCAATGATACTTTACAGGTATCACTTTTATTTTAATTGGAGATATTTTTACAGTTCATAGCTAACTGGCAACATAATACGTTTTACGTGTTTTAATAACTACGTGTCTTCTGTACTTGACATTAGTTTTTCATGACTTACAGCACGGAATAAATTTGATACATTATTTTCAAAGTACAGATATCCATTTTTTTTAAATAATTATAGGGAATAAGAATAAAGCGTATGAAAAGAAGTCTTTAGGTGACATAGGCGCCTCTATCGGTCACCCAGTAACTACACCATTTCTACCTGCTTGGACCGTTGTGTAGACAAGTTGAATCAAGATAAGCTGAAATAAAACATGCTAAAAGTTTTTAGTAAGCATTTGCGTAATATTCATGCAATCGGCGTAACTTAGTGACAATTACTCTTTTTATGCTTATCGCAGGCGGGGGATTTAAATATTTATTTTAGCCGCTGCATTGTCTTCTCATCTCTTCTAGGTTCAAACACTCAAGTACTACTGCGATAATAAAACTTATGTTAGCATGAATTTAAGAAAATACGTTATTTCTTCCCTTAATTTTATCAGCCTTAAAGTCAACAAATAGAATCTAGCTTTTGTATGCATCTCTCAGGTTTGAAGCTGTAGAATGACATCATCGGACATACGTGAATGATGGCTAACGTTCACTCAACCTACGTCCATAAAAGTTTTGTTTTTTTTTTCCAGAAAAGTCCAGAAAACATTGGAATCTAGAGACATATTAACATTAGTGCTTCTATAAAAAGTATTTTTTTCTAGGTACAGATTGTGCGGCAGGGGATGAACTTATCATATTTTTTATTGAATGTGTTTTTTTGTAGGTCAGCAAGGCTACAAGTCACCCTTAATAGTAGCATAGCGTAGTGTAATATAGCATTTTAATTTAATTATATAATATATACCATTAATTCAATAACATTTTCAGCTAAAGACAATACCGTTGTCAGCATGGGAATGAAGATCAATCCGGCCCATGGAACCATCATTCATGTTTCCTCTGGGCAACAGACTAAGTAAGTATTAATATACCTGCAAATATAGAGAACTAGTTTTATTGTAGTGGTTTATGTAGTGATCATGGTAGTAAGTTAGTAGATCATTTCATGGATTTCAGTTACAACATATACGAGTGTATATAACGTCTTACTTAGTAGTAAATAGCTATTTTAATGAGACTTTTGACTTACATTTATTTATTATTTTTTTAGCGTGTCAGCATCCGGCATGACGCAGGAGGGGATGTATATAAAGCAGATTGATAGAAATTCAATACAAATCCAAACCACTAAAGATGGTCAAAAGCAAGACGGGTCGAATAAAATTCAGAATACCGCGCAAAACGTTCAAATGATCACCGTACCGCAAGGAATGACAGTCCTTCAAAATCCGATAAACATCAGTCAAATGCCCACTATGCTGGGCCAGCCTAACAGCCAAGTTTACATGATTCCAGCGAACGCTCAGAATTTGGTACAGAATGCGTTACCGCCAGGTCTTTTGGGACAACAGGTTCTTCAACCGGGGCAAAACGTTACTGTGGTGCAACCCAATCAACTCGGCATGCCAGGTGGCGTTCAGTACAATATGCCGATCATGCCGATGAATATGCCACCAAATTCACAGTTCATGCCGGGGATTAATCTCAATGCACAGCTATCAGCACAGCAGTTGAACGCGGCTCTAGCTGGACAGCAATTAGGTAATCCTAATCTGAATGTCCCAGGTACGATACCGATTGTACAAGCGGCGCAACCGTCTCCCTCGCCGCTAACCAATCAGAACGCAGCGACTCAACCGCAGCAGATCCAACAAATGTTACCCCAGAATTCGACATTCATACCCACTTCTCAGTACCCTAGTCTTCCGCCTCAGTATATCATGCAGGCTAATTCTGCGGCAGCTCTTCCCCCTACTCCTAGCATTCAGTATTCAATCCCACCCAGTCAAGAGACAACACCAGCTCCCAGTAACGGTAATGGACAATCAACAGCAGATAACACAGATTCGAATATTTCAAATAATCAGACTAACTATATTTCATCCTCTTCTCAAGAATCGGGGTATACCGCGCAGAATCAGTCGCAAACATTCTCCGAAGGTACGACGACACCCACCGCATCATTGACGAACTCTAGCGTTCAGCAAACGTATACAAATGGAACAGCTAACCAGAATTACAATGGAAACCAGGGAAATACCCAACCGCCACCTAGCTACCCTGCAAACGGATCGGCGGCGCAAACAAACCAATCATATGCAGGGAACACTCCGATCTCTCAGAACGCAACGCAGACCAGCTTTTCGCCCTCCACCACTCCGATACCGAATGCCAACTACCCTGCTCCAAATATGCCCAACATTGGTTATCCTCCCAACCAAAACCCGTACCCAAATGCAACTGGACAGAACTTAGCAGCCTACGCTGGTAACCAGTACCAGTATACGAGTAGACCCTGGTTTAGGCCAAGATACGGTTCACCCCAAGGTTCTCCGTATGGATCCGCGGTACCCCCTCCAAATGGCCCACCCATGCCAGTCCCACCCCCTGGAAACTACAATTACTGGCAGGACAGTTGAGATATGGATAACATGGCAATGGATGCTATTCCGGAATCCTAGCAATTACCGCAGCCCAACAATATGTTATTAAGCTCTAATGACGTAGTGTACTTGGGCCAAAACTACCCTCTTGACGGAATGTATTATAGCGAACCAAAGGGCCCAAATTTTGAAAACCCTCCCTTTTAAGAGCCCATTTGTTGGACGTTATGAACTTTGGACCTAGCGAGTAATATGTGTTGTGCCTCCGATGAGAAATGTGTAAAATAACAGAGACTGTTTAATACTAAATTTAGCTTGAATACATTTTGAATGTATAAATATAGATGTAATATAAAATGATATATTATATTATAGAATCAAGAGATCGTTCTTTTCACTTTATTTTAAAACAATAAACATTTTTTTATTTTAGTTGAATCGTAATTAATATGAAACAAAACACAATAAAAACAATTTTAGGTCTGTTGCTATTGTGAATTTGCTTGATCGCATAGCAATTTTCATAGATAAAAAATATATACACACTTTTTAATAATGTATGACACAATGTCACACTGATACCTAAGTCGAAAAGATACCAAAAAAATGAATTCGGAAAATCGATATCCTGTTACTGCATCACTTTTCATGTTACGCGAAATTAAACAACGACAAGAAAAAGTGAACCGCGGTTATCAACTCCTGAAGCGTAAGGCAGAGGCGCTACGCCTACGTGGACGACAGGCCGCTGCGGAATTAGCTACCGTACAAGCCTTGGTAGGGCATTCTCTGAAAGAGGCTTACATATCTTTAGCGGCAATTAAGTTTACAAACGGGGAGTCGAACGCGTTGGTTCTTGAGAATGTTGGGCAGGTTAGTAAAATAAACCAAAATAATATATAAGTAATAAATCAAAATAATAATAGTATACGCCTTTATTTCGGATAGTATTACAATTACAGAAGTTATGTTTTCATTAATCAACAATCCGTTTGCTGGCATAAGCCTCTTCTAACTTCTTCCGTCATAAAATAAATACAAATATAGTTTATTTTATAGGTACATACCTACATTATTGGTGTATCTATTAAAAACATACTGCATATCATTGTCTTTCGGGCTGTTCGGCCGATGTGAGCGGGAAGAGGTTCTCGGCGTTTCGCCATCACGTGTGGACGGCATCATCAGATGTTCACCCCTCGATTGCTCGAAGAATTATGAAACATGCTGAACGATGGCCCTGAAAGCCTTACACACTTTATTAAAAACATACTGTCTATTATTTACGTGAGAAGTACCTACACATTAAAATAGAACCGTTTAAAACTCGAAATATTTACGCGAAATAATTAGTTAAACGTATATAAAAATTTATTTTAACTTCGGCCCGACGTTTCGGATGCTTTGCAGCAGCCGTAGTCATGGAGAGGCTTCGGCCCGAACTGACGTCTCTAGTCAATAAGTTTTACTTATATATTTCGCGTTTTAAGCCGATAAAGTGTTTTATTTAAACAGTTAACAACATATTCGCGTAAAACAGGCACAGATACGCGTACAGCGCCTCCCGGAGAACATATCTGGTGTACCAACTGTATGTCTACAAGCTGTCGAGGATCTGACCGCGGGAGATTCCTTTCGTTATGCTGGGTTGGGAGCTGGGGGGCATCGCACCAGTGAAACGAAACGTGCGTTCAGGGAAGTCATCAAGATTCTAATCAAATTCGCTTCTTTGAGAAATATATGCTTGTTGCTGGACGAAGCCGTTCGTACAACATTAAGGTTTTTAAATGTTTTTTGTGTAAACGTATCGAGAACAATGCATACTTACTTTTAATTAGTTAAAAACATAAGATACCTTCCATTGTTCAAAAATAAACTAATATGTAAAAAATTAGGGCTTATTGTTTTAATGTAGATTCCAAGGTCCAATATTTTTGTAATCAATTTATATTTTTTCTGAAATAGTTGACCTTCTGGAAATTGAATTTAATAGGGTAGGAATATTGAAATTGTTTGGGTCACAAAAAAGGTGAGTAATTTTATGTTTGGTTTAGTTTGTGGATTGTAGAATATCAAAGCCTAATCATAGGATCTTGTTTAGATAGGTACTAAGTATCCTTACTAATATTATAAATGTAGAAAGTAACTTGTTGTCTGTCTGTTGTTATCTTTCGCAAAATATGAAGATTTAATGAAATTTTGTAAAATGTTAACCCTGAAAAAAATTTATTGGGGGGTGAAAGTTTGTATTGAATTTCGTGGTTTTCGTAGCTAGAACAATGAAACTCTCTTCTTTGGCTTTTTGGGAATAGGAGTGGGGGAGGGAGTGGGAGTTAGAGTAGAAGTGATGTGAGGTGAGAGTGTTGCGGCAAAGTAGCACTTACAACATAGAATGGCTGCCATAAATGCGCAATTACATAGATTAATAAACAGCCTAAATAATTGAACATTCTACCCTAAGTCACTATTCCAGGCGAACGAAGTCGCGGGCACAGCTAGTGTAATTATTAAACGCTTTAAAAATAACTAATGCGTTATACTCTTGCCTACTTTGTTTTAGAAAAGTGAATGGCATAGAAAAAGTGATTCTTCCGAAACTACGTAACACAGAAAACTATATATTGACTGAGATGGATGAGAGGGTAATGGACTATCCTATTTTTCAATTTACTAATAAATTTATTAGATTTTTGACCATGTTAAAAATATTTTTAATTTATTCATTGTTATACCATGGGTTAATTCTAAATATATAGGAACGTGAAGAATACCACCGTCTGAAAATGGTGAAAGCAAAGAAAAACCTCGGGCGATTGCTGCCCAAATTTAGGGATAGGGAGCCTTCTGGTGATGGTCAAGGATCTAAAGGTACATTTTAATAAATAAATAATTATTAAAACCAATCACATATCCTTACACAATAGTACTTAATTCCAAAATGAGCGTGAATTACAATAATATTTTAACATATCTTACCGATCATCTGAGATATCGTGCATGTCTTTAAGACATAAATTAAAAACGTCTAATTTACAATTTTATCGAAGTCATACCTATTGTGGTGGCTTATATCTCTTAGAATCTATATTATAATCGACATTTGGTTGTTTCGACGAATTCCATCTCAACATACCAAAATTGATCTCGTTTCAGAAGTAACCCCCGACCCTTCCATATCAATGAACGACACTATGGACGATGATAAACTGAATGTGATTTCTACCGTTACAGTACCAGCGGGTGATTTTAAACCTGTATGCTACCCACATTACTGGGACGATGATGATTTGCTCTTTTAGTTTAATATTACTTTCTTACTGTAGATTTATTAGAACGAACATAATTAAAATTAAAGTAAACAATTTCACACTGGGTTGACATCACGCTCAGTTAAAAATAATACAACAAGTAATAAGCTGCCATACTACAAAATAAAACGATTGTGTTTATAGTCGCTATATAATTTAATGTTTGTCTTTAATTTGGTAAATAAAAAGTGTATTTTAAGTATTTTTTTAAGACAGCTGTACTTTTTTTACACTGTTTTTTTTACAAAACCCAGCCATTATCCAATCTTTCTTCCATTGGCTTTGTAAAGTATTGGCATCTTCGGAATTTCTCTAGAATTTCACCCTGGAAACAAAATTTAGATTTAATGAGTAATGGTAAACTTCTGCATACAGTACTTATTCAAAATAATACGACAAAAATAAGTTTTTGTTAAAAACTTACGGGCCCCGTTTTTTTAACATTCTCGCTGTAATATGTTATCGCACTTGATCCTGTTCCATACAGAGGATATTTTAAATGCATCTGTTAAAACAATAAATAAAAAATAAGACATTTATAATTACTTACTTGTATACAGTTGTAGGCCTAAGTGACAAATCAGACGTCATTATTCTGTTTTTTTGCTATCAATATTATATGTTCGTATGTCTTTCAATTCTAATTAGAAATTTTTACGATTAAGAACCTTACATTCTTATCGGCAGTGACTTCAAGATTCCGCGGTTCAAACTCGTCTTTAATGAAATGTGATTCGTATTCCGTACAGTAATCGGCCACTGGCTGAGAAGTAGCTATTTCTTCAATTACTTCTTCCAACATTTGCTCCCAGAAAAAATCCTTTAACATGCGTTTTCGAATTCCTAAAAATAGAAACACGATTCGTAGTAAATATATTAATAGCAAATATTTATATATTTCAATAAGACCACTATAACAAATCTGAAAAATTGAAGTTTCTCGTTTAAGATGGTACTTTGTTTACCTTCTGTTTTAGGTGGTTTCTTGAGTACGCAGAAACTTTGACGCATCTCACTCCCTGCTCCTGGTACTTCTCGACCATCCTGTAATATCCAGGGTCGACTAAAATTCTTCCCCTTTCCATAAGCTGAAGGTTCAATTGGAACTTTAGGGTGAAGCTTTATTCGGTCTAGAGGCCTCAATTTTATTTCTGTTTCTTCGTCTGGTGGTTCAGGCAGGTTAACTTGTACTTCTTCGTTCACTGTATCAGAATCCATAATCAATGGCTAAAATGCAAGAAACACTTAATTCGAATAAATCGAGAAGAAAGTCGAAAATAAATGCTCAAAATTATATTTTGTTTACCTGTCGCCTAGGTAAGTTCTTGATAGATAATAATTAATACCAGTTTTAAACATCCCGCGTTAGATTATCATTCTTTATAAACTGTATTGTTTTTTGAAATTTTGACGTTTGCCTTAAACTGTCAAGCTAATGTCACAGTTTCTGTCAAAACTTCGGGAATAAATATTGGAAAATCATACTAAAACAAATTACGAAGAGCTAGGCCAAAAATGGCTGAGGCATGTCAAATAATTAGAAAACAAGACCTACCTCCGCCTGGAGGCTACCGGCCTATTCCATTTAAACGAATTCCCGCAAAGTCATATTTTAGCGGTGAGTTTCGCTGCATACTTGTATTATCTTATTATAACAATGGGGTTATCTTTCTTCGAAGCAGTTCCAAAACATCTAAAAAATATCAAATTTTCTAGGGTTCACATGGATCGCTGGCTACATTGGTGTAACTGCTATTTCCTCGTACCTGTATTACTTGAATTACAAACAGATAGTCAAAAACAAAATCGAGATGCGTTCTGCAAAGATGGCAATTTATCCGATGCTATTGGCGGAAAGGGACCGTGAATACATGAAGCAATTGCGTAGAAATCGTGATGCTGAGGCAGAACTTATGCGCGATGTTCCTGGTTGGGAAGTAAGGAATCTAAAATATATGTCACAATACAGCTAATCATTGTTCCCCATTTTGTTTTGGTCTAAGACTCTTGTTTAAAACTCTAATGCAAATTATCAATTATTTTTGTATGAGTCACATCATCACAAAACATATGTGAAATCAGATTTTGTAGATTGGAATGCTTTTAATTTAAAGCAGTAAGCAGTAGTATTTTGAAAACCTAGTGTTATTTTTTACAAAGTTGTCCTTAAAGTGATGGTCACTTAAAAGTCGCTATAAGAATGGTCACTTAAAAGTCGCTATAAAAATGGTCACTAGTAATTCTATTGTATGTAATGATAAAGTGTCTGCCAAATTTATTACATAGTACGCAACTGCAATAATATTTTTTTTTTCGTGAATTTGTTATACTTTTTTTTCTAGGTGGGGACTTACTATGGCGAGAGAGTGTACAAATTGTTGCCACCTGATGCCTTAGTTGAACCAATATTCCATGAATACTATGCTCATACTGAGCCATCTGCATGGGACAAGAAAGTTGATCTTAGACTATGGTCTTAATTCACTTCCAAACAGATCATTTCGTATAGAAAAATTTCAATCTCTTCAACTTGACTTCATCTCCAAATAGATTGAGTTGTTGAATGCTGTTTCTTGTAGTTATTTTATTTTAATAAATGGTAATTTACAGTTTTTTTATCATTAATATATTCAATGTTATTCTCATTGACAGACTGTGTTTGTCTATCATGGGATCAAGTTCAGCATGTTACATAGAATGTTGTGTATAGTGCATCACTTTGCACAGCATTTTTACAAGTTGTGGTTTAAAATGAGAAACAATGACTTCTTCTTTTAAAACATTCTTGAAAAGAGGGTAAAAGAGCTAAAAAAGAAGAAATATTATTCATTTTATTCATATCTAAAAAAATTACATTTTCAACAAAAGTAAAATATAAAAAGCAAATTGAGACCAATCAGCATAATGTCAGCGTAATTTCAAAATAGTAGGAATTAATTTACTTAATCTAAGCAAATAATGTTTGAATGCTATGTAGATTGTATTTACTCTACACATTAATTACGAAAATATTTTTCATAAACCATGTACGCAGTAAGTTCGTAATAATTTTAATCATGTGGCCCTGGCAGACATTTTGCTATTCCTATGTTATATTTCTAGTAAAAGTTTTATACTAGACACCAATATTATATAATATTTTCTAACACTCATCGGGAACCCTATATGAACATTAACCTTACATAGAAGAATAATGTCAAAACACTTCATTTTCAATATTTTATATGGACATAACTAAAAATATTATTTGGACTTGTTTTTGGCATTCAATATACATTGTATGTTAGGCTAATTATTAAAATTATATATTAAAATCTCATTTTTGGAACCACAGATACAGAAAAAACCAAACAAATCACTTCATCTAATTTCCTCTCTGCAGAGGAAGGGAAAGAAACAGTTTAAAATCTCTTTAATAAGGTTAACATGATACCTTTTTCGCAACATATTTATAGTGTGGGTTAAAATCCCAGGCAAAGACGTGAAATAGCCAGAGCCTTATTTGTGGTGCAACTGTTATTTTGCTTCTGTTTTCTGTGTTTGGAACATATAAACTTAAATATTTTACTTAAATCGTTACAACCATATAGTCTTAAACTACGTAGTTATAACCAATTATAAGGATATATGTCCCTATTCTACTTGCATTTCTTGATAATAATTTTAGGTTTTAGTTTTACCGTTCTGAGTTTGTGCATGTGTTTCATAACAAAGAACATGCCTGGAAAGGTCAGAATCAGCAAGTAAACCCGTAGGAAGGTCGGCATATGGAATGCAAAGTTCCATTCGTTTGGTAAAGAGACAGTGAATTTTTCAGTTTCTTCAAAGTATGGGATATTACGGAGGATCACTATAGCTTCACAGAGTATTCCTATGGGGTATAGGGGTATCCACATTGTGTAGCGAAGCCAAGTTAGAATGTAGATGTCTTTTTTGTAGAGTTGTGCTATGTAGAAGGGATATCTGAAATTATATATTAAGTGGTTATTATATAAGTCTATTTTCAGGTGAAAGAAATATCACAAATCTACTTTATTCACAGGTAAATAGAATTTGGGGGCCACGCTAAACAAACATAACATATATTTGTGTTCATCAATTTTTTATAATTTGTTTAAATAAGCCGCTTTTAGTAAGTCAGGAAAAACTCTTCTTACCTGACTACTTCAATGAGGCTCCACATAGCAAATAGATAAAAGACGACTGGCTTAGTTTGCATTCGCGGTTCTGCTTCGATCATTGCGAATAACACAAATGCTCGACCTCCCACTTGTAAGAATGCGACTAAGGGACTCCCCTTAATAACAAAACACAGAATAAAGAATTTACTTAATAAACTACTAATATACAGATTATTACATATGCAAAAAATAATTTAAAATTATAAAAAGGTAATGTACTATACCTTTGTGTATCCAAAGAGTGGGTGCATCACTTCAAGAAACATCATTAGCTGCAAAAACTTCATGGCACCTCCTACATGCTCATAGGTCCCTGGTACCGATGCATAGTCCAGCTTTACATAACGCACGATCATCACACTCATCACATATGTAAAACCAATGAATTGGAAGAGGTTGTATATTATAAGATACACCTTTTTGTAGTCTTCTGGAAGAATGAAGTAGAAAAAGAAATATTTTATTATTACATAGAATAAAAATGAATGCTATAAGAACACCATAAATATTCTTACTTGATTCCTCTGCCATTATGAACTAGTATCAGTATATATAATTTTATTTAATGTATTTGAGCACAACCTCAACAATGAACACTACTAATCATATTATAAAATTATTCATGAGCTATCTGGCATAATTACTTGATAAGGATTTGCACAAAATAATCAAAGTTTACTTACAATTCTGTCTTATTATTTAATTATCTTTATAATTGTGTATAATAATAATTATAGACTTTCATATTTTGCATAAAATTTTAGGAAAGCTATTTATATAAGGCACATCCATAAAATATAATTATAAAAGTAATGTCGTCATTTAAAGAAAAAAAATGAGAATCGAATGTATGAATCGGTAGCTCAATTGGTAGAGCAACAGCAAGGACGATGCCAGTTTAAATCCTGTCCGAGTCGAAAATTGTTTTAATTTATATTCTATGTTTAAATTGAATATATTAAATATATAAATGGTAAGGTCAAGCCATTGTCTATTAAAGAAAAAGTAATGGTCTGGGGGGTATGAATTTGGCTGTAGAGTCGAACCTGTGAGACAGAAAAATAAGTATACCTTTCCTATAACCGAGTTCCTCCTTATGTAGTTTATCAAACATTCCTGGATAGTCTTTCATCACATCTCGTGTTTCCTCCTCACTGCCACCATCATCTTCCGACTTCCATTGGTCAAAGTTAATCTAAGATAAATAATACTTGAGACTGATTTAAAATAAACTACACCTGTATTTATAGCACAATAATATGTTATTTACTAAACTTTTACTATTATATAATTATTAACAATTTCCAAGAAAAATTACAAGGAACAGCTATGACATTTACCTTAAGCCAGGCTGGTTTCTGTGGCTGAGCTGTGAGCCGAGGCCACCATACACTCTCATCTTTGTCTAATACTACATCAATTCGGTTCTCATATACTTTGACGTTTATACATTGATCACCTTCCTTACTCTAGAAAAATGTTATAAAATATTGGTTTGTTTCTTTTTCACACCGATGACCTTATACCTCTAAGGATTTAAAGAACGTTAAATTAAAAATGTTCTTAAAGAAATTCTCTCGCTTTCGAGTCTTATATTTTGTAATACATTTTAAAGATGATAATAGTAGAATATAAAAACACTTTGATAATGACGACATAAACAATGTTCTAGAAATACACACCGATCTAATGGGAGCAAATAAATCCAAACTAAATTCATATTTGCAAATTCCGTGGGCACCGACACCCTGCGCCGAAAACTTTATTTTATTTTCTAAAACCTCTATGTTTGGTGTTTCAGCGTTACGCAGATCAATTTTCAACGAAACGCTGTTAGATGATTGTGCCCAATACACAAACGGACTAGGTATCACCATTTTTAGTATCTTATTTTACATTAAGTGCAATTTAATAAATAGTAAGGGTGAAAATACCCCTATATTTTATTTTGTCTCAACGAAAGAATGACTAGACTTTCAAGAATTTAATAACTACAGATAAATTAGGCGCAGTTCTCCAATTCCCTTATCTAGGTGGTAAAAAATATCCTTTAATTAAGAAAATTGTATTTAAATCACCGAACCCGTGAACCGAGATATTTTATTATTGTATCTTTTTTACTTCAAGTTGAAAGTTTAAAGTCTATACTCGATGGTCTCAATCGACGTTCTATAGCTTATGGTGATTGTGGTGATATAATAAGGTTTTATTTGCTGAAATATGTAGTCCAATAAAAAGCAACCTTTTCAAAAAATATACAAAAAATTTCTTTAAGTATACAATAAATCATTACAAAAATGTTGTTAGGAAAATAAATAGTACCTTATAGTATTGGCAATACTGCAAGGTTTATCTCAGTATCTTTCTTATCTATGGTTATAAGAAAAAAATCGTCAATCATTGGACTGTCAAAAAGTCGTTTGCCTGTATTGATGGGTGTCGAGTTTCTTGATTAAATTCTATATTTCTCAAAATTGTTTTGTTATTATATCATTTCGAGTGCTGTGAACATGGTGTAGTGGAATTTGTGTGCGTACGACAATAGTGAAATTCCTTGCATATCTCCCTTAAACAAATCCAAAATGTCCGTACCAAACACAGGATTGAGTAAATTGAAAAAGAAACATATTCGCGTGAAACATCAGAAAGTGAAATTATTCCGTGCTAATGAACCTTTACTGTCCGTTTTTATGTGGGGTGTTAATCATACGGTAATATCATTAGATAATCCTTTACTTCATAATTCGACATGTCTCATAAGAAGTTGCGCTTTTGGAAAAAAAAGATACATATTTTAAATATATTCTAGGCAATGTTTTATATGTACCAATATCTATTCTTTATTTAATACATTGAGAAAATCTTTTCATGTTTTAAACTTGTGAATTGCTGGCACTAGATCAATGAATGTATTATTATTTCTTGCTATAAACAAACAGCTTATAAATCTTATTTTAAGGGTTAGGGATAGATGCCAACTATTTATGACCATGTAGTAAAAAATGTATGACTCACAATTATATTTTAATCAAGATAATACTTACTTTCCTTCTAACAATAAAATCTATTTTATTATTTAAATATGTAGTGTGATTTTTTTCTTATGAGAAAGTACTAAATTCCTATTGTAAATATTTTATTCTCTTTAAGGACACATGCTTTACATTAAATATAATGTGTAATAAATACTATAAACAAGCAGTAGAAGTGATTTGTTGGTATAATTAAAAATCAACTATCAGGCAATGTTTAAAACATGTTTGACATTCTATTTTCATGAAGATAATATTTTAGAAGAGAGATAGGCAATTTTTTTATATACCTACTGTAAGAAGTAGGATTATTTATTTTTATAATTTGAGTCTAATTTGTAAAGTCATCTGGTCATATAATTGTGCAGCAGCTTAAATGTGTTTCATATATTTTTTCAGCATCAAAGCAAAATAAGAAAAACCCTCCTTAGCTCTGTGGTAAATAGTATTAGATAAATCATAAGAGTTATCTAATTTTTTTATCTTTTTCAGATAAATGAACTCAGCCATGTCTCAATACCTGTGATGTTGCTTCCTGATGATTTCAGGGCATATTCCAAACTGAAAGTGGATAATCATTTGTTTAATAAGTAAGTGTAAGAAAATCATGACAAATTTCTTATTAGGAACAATTTTGACTTGATTTATTAGAGAAGTGAGAAAGAAGCAAAGAAAAATATAGAGGTTGTAACTATGTACAGTATATTATTGTATTTGATTATAGTAAATGATCTTTAATATATTTATATATGCATAAAATAAAGCAACTTACTTGCTTATTACTTGCAAATAGAGTATCTGCTCCTATTTATAATATGTGGAATATGTAATAATATATTGTTGGTAATGTAATTTATAGGAATTGTACACCTTTAATAGTATTTTATGGCTGCTTCGATATGTACATATTTAATGTTCTTTGCAGGGAGAATATGCCATCGCATTTCAAAGTCAAGGAGTATTGCCCGCTCGTCTTTAGAAATCTTCGGGAGAGATTCGGAATAGACGATCTGGACTACAAAGAATCATTGACCAGGTGAGGTGCTATAATTATTGGTGCCCCACTTGCAAAAGAGCCACGTGTGTTTCGCAATTTTACGCGCATTTAAATTTATTTTTTATTTCCTTATATTTTGTCCGGTCCGTATCCCACCTCCCGTCGTGTCCTATAGGTTTAGAAGGCCAGATAACTATCTCCGGTCGCGGGCGAGAATCAAGTTTATAAATAAGCTGCGGCGATCCGCCACAGCGCCGACTGGCGTTACCGAGATGAGGAACGGCCAAGAGGGCGCCTTCCGGGAGGCGTGCGAGCTCGTCAAATTTGGCCTATCCATGAAAAGGCTGAGGTCAGGTGTTTGGTTTTACCGATAACAGAATGTAGTGTGCCTTTGACTGACACGGCATCTCATCGCATACACGTTTCACCGGCTGTGTTTTTGTCGCGTCCATGTATTTTGTTTGGGACAGAGTTTTGGCATTGCTTTCTGTGATACAGGTCCTGCATTGTCGATCCTCTCAAATATGAGTACCATTTTCTATTCGCCACCGTACACGCAAAACACGCGGTTTTACACTCTCAACAGACTTCTCTTACCAAGGCCGTCGCCAGTCGGTAATACAATAAAGTATGTAAAGTAAAATGAGTGATGATGTTTATTTACTTAGTGCCGTAAAGATAAGATTTGGGAAAGCATGAGACGAGAAAGGGAGTGTGGAAGTAACATTGGATAGGTGAAAAGTTTGTTCTGCTCTTCGATATTAGGGACTGTAACACCTTGATTTCAGTATGAAATCTTTATGCAGGAAAAGTAGGGGGAGTTCAAATGCCCTTCTTTGGCGACGCCCTTGTCACTTACACAGAGCATTTATGCACGTAGCAAAAATTACAGGTAAGCCGACGAGGAAAAGCTATATGGGAAACTCTTATCACAATAGATTGCGGACAGGAAAATGTGATAAACTTCGCTGAAACGATTAACCCGGCGAGAGATTAGTTCGGGACGATTCACCTTGGATTTTTAAGTCGGGCAACAGAGGTCGCCGAGGGTTAATAGCTCAGTTAGACGGAGCGAAATTATGGCATTGCTATACAAATTAATGCCAATTACTTGTAGGAAGTTGGAACGATACCAATCATAGTGTTGGTAAAATGCAATCTACGTGAGGATTTAAATTTATTACTCAATTGTAAAAGTAACTATGTTTACACTCATAAAATATCCTAAATAGAGACCTACTTAGCTGGCATAGTTATATAAATTATTAACTAAATATTTTAAAGAAACACAAGAGACAGTCTACCACACTAGTGGAGATCGAACTCTCTGCTTTAAGTTATGGTGGCACCTTCGAATCCTAACCGTAATATTTATAATTTATATAAAAAAAAAACTAACGGATTAAACGTAATTTTTCAATTAATCAATAAATATTTTTCTCATCTGTTCTTGAAAGTCATACACTTATAGAAAACTTAAATTTACTATACCATAATAATCTATGTGTTTTTGAATTTGAATCCTAGCATGGTGTTGTGTGCCCTTTCAAAGATGTTTTTAAATACCGACAAGTACCAAACACAAAGTGTTGACAGTATTAAATTAGGAAAGTATAAAAAAAGTAGGAAAGAATTGTCCGTTCATGAATACCTTATTTATTTCTGTAAATAAGGTATCATGAATTATATTGTATTATATATTATTCTTAATATTTCTTTTCCTGGCTTTGAAAACTAATCGGTTGTTAATCTCAGATTACCGCTTGTATTGCGTAAAGCTCACAGAAGTGGCGAGTAGTGGGTTTGACTCCCGGGAAAGCATAAAAAGACTAATGGCTATTGCAAAGGACCAGAAACTAAATGTTAGGGACACTGGAACTTTACTTGTGGTCTCACACAAGAAACACTAATTTGTCGTTGCAGTTTTATATCGTCACTTCGTACTTGTTAACGTAATCTTCTTAATGCGGCGCTATTTATTTATTTGTTAGTACTCTGTCAACTTAAAAATTTACTTATAGACGAGAAGCGAGAGACAAAATTCGCGATGTATTTAGGTACTTTTTATAAAAATTATTATCATAGTACAATATTTTTTTTTTTACTTTAATAATATAATTCAAGTACCAATAATGGTAATCTTAAGTTTATTTTTATATGTTCGCTATGTAAATTTTACCTATACTTGTTTTTTTACAATATGTGAAATGTTTAAAATAGGGATGTCGGTCGTATTTATCGATTAACATGTTGACTAATTTTGAGCGGAACGTGTTTTAAAGAGGATCATTGTCCTACAACAGTCGTAATAAAAGAGTCAAAACCTTTTTTATTTAACTTTTCATCGATTTATAACTATTATCTTTTGCACAAGAAAACAAACAGCACTAGAAATTCAACCAATATCGTTTTCACAGCAGGTACACCGTGGTCTCATTTCAAGAAAAGGGTAAATAGCTAAACATCTTATCTCTTGTCGACAGGTCACAACCAATCCCGGATGACTCTTCCGGCAAGTCAGGTGCGAAGTTCTACCAGAGCTATGATAGGCTCTTCATCCTAAAGACCCTCACTTCAGAAGAGGTGGAGAGGATGCACTCGTTTCTCAAACATTATCACCCGGTAAGGAGGAGATCTTGAACATTGGCGTACCTATAAGCACTTGAGTTTATTCTCTATATTTTTATCTGTGGTGTTTTTCTCTATTCATCAGTATACTTACAGTTTACTTATAATGACAAACAACCATAAATTTGTCCAAGGGACCATATCGCCTAGTTAAACGGACACACAAATATGTCCGCCATATAATCCACGTCGAGGATAACTTTACAAACTAGTCACGCAAAACGTCTAGTATTACTTTCAATTACTGTGATTTTGCAATTGACTTACTGCAGTGTGACGTCACTGCAGACGTTAACGTACAGAACCAAAACAATTTTAATTGACTATTAAAGAAAAACATAAATTTGAAATTATTATTATGCCTTTCTCATTTATTACAACAAAGTTTTCGTCAAATCCAGCATATTGACTGATGTTTTCATGTATTGCATTATGTTAAAAGAAGATATTTAATTCTTTCATTCGTTTTGGACACGATTTATTTGATTTAAAAATCGAAAATAAATTGAAAATTTTTTCGACTCGGGCAGAACTTAACCGGCATCGTTAGCGCCTTATTATCTTATAAATTATATGTGCAATAACATGTAAAAAATAATTAGGTTTTCAAACGATTTACCTGTCTTATCAATCAGTGAAGTAGAATGTGTCCTAGGTTTCACGTGATGAACCCGGGACTCATTCAAGCTTTTTATATTTTTAAAGATATTAAGGAATGGTTGGCTGGTTAAGAAGGAAGTGATTACTTCGTAATAACTTAAGTTATAGGGCGTGTCTTGTCGATATTAGTTTCAATGTTGCATGCTACTTGTCAATACGGAATAACATTTCGTATTAATTGGATATGCACTCACGTACTTGTTATTTATAGATTTTCGTTAGTAACTAAGATTTTGATTTACTATTGAACAGTATATATTTAGGTCATCACATCTTGATCATTTGAGTTTGGAGTAAGAGAACACGTGAAAAACAATATGTAATTTTATTAATCAGACATATATGGTTAAATTTGTAGGAAAATGGTATCCTACTCTCTACTGAGTGACGTAAAAGTCTAAATTTGTTTTTCTGATCTAATGTAATCATCTTCAGAAGGTGTTTCTGAAAAAAATGATAAGATACTGATAAAATGAATGTATTGTTTTGACGACAAGATTATCGAATTTAAAATGCAATTTAAGATCGATTCAGCCGTTCGGTTTCAACTGCTGGACATAGGCCTCCCCCATAGACTTCCAGTACGACCGGTCGTTCGCTAGTTGAATCGAGCGTTTCCCTGCTACCTTGACCAGGTCGTCGGTCCACCTGGTGGGAGGTCGTCCAGGTTTTCGACGTCCGGTACGTGGTCTCCATTCCAGAACCTTTTTGCCCCAACGGCCGTCACTTCCACGAGCGATGTGCCCAGCCCACTGCCACTTCAGCTTGCAAATTCGATGGGCTATGTCAGTGACTTTAGTTCTTCTACGGAATTTAAGATCATTACAGTGTTATTATTTAATAAATGTATTTATAGATATTGCTACAGTTTGACTTTGTACCTAAACACTAACAAAGCAGTTTCTTTTTTATACAAAGTTATCTCATTCCTTTTAACAAGGAATTTGTATGAAAACTTTATAATTTTTTACATGTTTTTGCACATGAAGGCAATATATAATTTAAAAATCGAAAATAAATTTAAAAAAAAATCGACTCGGGCCGGACTTGAAAAGGCATCGTCAGCGTTCCGCGCTCGTAGCTCAATTTGTAGAGCAACAGCACGGAACGCTGACGATGCCGATTCAAGTCCTGCCCGAGTCACAAAAAAAATTACTTTGATTTTCGATTTTTAAAGGATTTTGTACTTTTATGAAGCTATTAAACACTTACTTCATTTACTACAAACAGCACATATAATGAAAGTATAACTTGTGTTATATTCCATTCGAATACCTACATTTTCCTCGTTTTGTTTCTCAAAATAGATAATTATATTGTACTTAGAACAATACGTTGTAAAGATAAAGACTGACTTTTATAGAAAATAAATATTGGTTCAAGTGATATTGTAATCTTTAAGATCTTGTCAGTTTTACAGAATCTTAAATTTTATCTAGTCGTTGGATTGTATGACACATGTATCTGATAGTCTCTTATTTGGCTGTGAAGCGGATATTTTTATGTATCTTGTTTCGACCCAGTTATGGGTCTTTAAAGAAGAAAGTTGGCCGTTAAACATCTTAATCACATTAATATATATAAATAACACACTTTAACGGTTTTAAACGTGCGTTTTACCCCTTTAAAGTGTTTTATTTAAATGCGTACTACCTACTCGCGTAAACTACAGACAGTATTTAACATTAACTTATCTTATATGATAATTTTGTTTATTACAGTACATTGTGGAGCGCCACGGTAAAACCCTTTTGCCCCAATATTTGGGGATGTACCGGCTAACGGTGGACGGCATTGAGCACTATCTAGTCGCAACAAGAAATGTCTTCTCGAATCATCTTAATATACACAAGTGGGTGCAATTTCACAAATTTTACTTAGTACTACATATCTATTTGGGTATTATGTTTGATTTTTCACCAATCGATCTTGGAAAAAATAACATTTGCTTCGGTCAGGTAGGCCACGGCAGGCTTCTTCAGGCGTAAACATAGAGGGCGGGAACATACAATAAAGATAAATAAAGGCACTGTATAATCCACTTAGGGGCGGGATAAGGGACACAATGTATAGTAGAGTATAACTTGCTACTCTAATTATGCTATATATTCATTTTAGTGCTAATAAATAATAGACAGTATTTTTTAATACTGTCTAAAAGATGCAGAAATAAAAATATATTGTAGGTAACTAATAACAAAGCCGCTAACATGCTTTACGCCAGTGATACTTTCAATAAAATTCTTTTAAACAGGTTAAAAGGCGAATTATAATTTTTTTAACTTGGACTTCGAAGGCTTCGAAAACTCCTTAGAATTTTATTTACTCATACAGTTTTCGTCGTACTCTGCTATAAAAGGCTTTATTTAATTATTATTTTTTATTATCATGTTAATGTGTCGGTCGCTTTTGCAGGAAGTACGACCTAAAAGGCTCGACGGTAGACCGTGAAGCTTCCGAGAAGGAATTAGAAAAAGAGTTGCCAACCCTGAAAGACAACGACTTCATCAAGCAAGGAGTGAGGATCGACATTGGAGATGCTGCTAAGGAGAAACTGTTGGAGACACTTACAGCTGATGTTGAAGTAAGTAACGCCTAGTGGCTAGCTATATAATAAACATTACTTTAAATATGAGACATGGCAAAATAATAGTAATTGTTGCACTTTCTTATAGTTAAAATAGTATACGTGATTCTAAAATCGCGCTAATCACGTAATGATGTTTGTAAAAATATATATATATATTTGTCAAATATTTAATTTTTAAATTTGTGACTAAATTGCAAAAGAGAGTCAAAGTTTCTACATCAGTATTGTTGAGGACTGGTTATTCCTCAGTAGGTATATGAACTTCGTGTGATAACGCCCTTTGGGCGTGGACATCTCTGCACTTAAGGTTGCGATGTTGGGCGCCCCGCATCACCCGTTTCAAGCAACCGTCCTGGAATTTCTCTCAGAACCATCAGTGGGCTTAGGAATTTACGGCTCCTGACCTAGACCGCTTTCCTGTGTAGAAACGGACTCCCTACCAATTGTCACTGACAAAAAACATTTATCCTGCACGTGGCGCGGAACTTTAATAGCGCGTTTTAGGATTTTTCAACTTCATTCTTAAACATTACTTTTTATTTTTTGTAGTGCGCTTATTGCTTTTTGTTTTATATGAGACTTTTTTTGTATATGATTAAGGTATTCTTGTAGTGTTAATTCTTTTTTTTTTCTTCAATTTTTTATTGATTTATGTGTCGCGAATAGCGCCATCTCGTATTAGGTCCTTGGTCTACGACATCCTTTTTGAGTCCTTTTTCCGTGGGGTTCGAAAATTGAAATACCAGTGAACATGCCATATTTTTTTGTAATTTATATAATTTTTGCTTAGCCTTCACTTGATTTGTGAAAAGAAATTAATTAATAATAATATAGAAATTACTGCGATTTCTTTTTATTTTTTTTTATTGTTAGGTAGGTTGTATTTTGATTGTTTTTTGACATTTTTTTTATTTGTAAGGGTTATATGGTTATAGGTTACCTAGGCGTAATTAAGGGTTAAAACAATAAGCTTCAATATACTTGGAATTTATATTACATAAAATTATAAATATATTTCTTAACGAATGTATGTTCCAGTTTCTCACAAAATTGCACCTGATGGATTATTCGCTGCTGCTCGGTGTACACGAGTGCGGACGAGGTGAGGCCGAGGCTGAGGCAGCGAGGCAAAGGGAGGCAGAGAACGACACAGAAAACGATACAGACACAGATAGCGATACGGATAATCGTCACGCTGACAGGTATGGTATAAGCTGTTTTTTTTTTTTTCAGAAAAAAAAATCAAACTTCAGGATTCTATTGCGGTTGTGATGTATATCATCTTGTCCAAAAAAAGTATTAAAAGATTGTGTGTTCATTCACAGTCATGTATGTACTAGCTTATAACTGCGGCGGCCCAAACGTATAAGAAAAAAAAAAACTTTTTGTATAGATGGGGTTTTAACACGCCACCGGACAGTCCACGTGGCTTCGGCCGACAGTCATCCCTTCGGTATGAGGGTATCATTCCTGAGTTGGACATCTACGCCATACCAAGTCAAGAAGGTAAAGTGAAAAAATGAAAATTAATTATATTAACAAATTTTGTGACACCCACATGTAATAACTAGGTTTGGGCACAAGAATTAAAAAAGAGGTTTTCTATTAAATAAATTTACAGACTTATAGTGCCTATTTGATTTTTTTATGTATTTGACAGTAAAAGTTGTTATTTAAGATAAATGTAGAAAATTAATGAATTGTGGTTCATGAAATAATTGTGGTATTTCAGGCGCGCCCAAGAAAGAGATTTACTTCGTAGCGCTCATTGATGTTCTCACACACTATGGAGTCAAAAAGCAGGTGTGTATATGCGGATGTGTATTCTTTGCTTAACTGACTATCTACCATAAAGTTGTCTTTGACCCATTTATGGCCCGAGGCAGATACATTTCTGTAATCAATCTTAATTACATCATTTAAATAAATCACTTTAACGGGTTAAAACGCGATACATATTAGATAAACTTACTTAAAACAATATTTTTAACTACCTCTTAAAAATAACTATTTACAAATTTCAGGCGGCAAAAGCAGCAAAAACCGTGAAGTATGGCAGCAATGTGGACGGGATATCGACATGCGACCCCGAGCAGTACGGTAAAAGGTTTATCGAGTTTGTCGCGAAGGCCATTGAGGGGAACTAAAGTGAAGTGCTTGTGCCTCTTTTAGTGCGTTACTGTGCAGTGGTAATTGTTTGTATTAGTGAGTCAATGTGTTCTTGGTTAGTCCCTATATCTCCTAAGCGGAAATACATCTCCTTGTTGGTTTGTGACTCAGGTAATATATTAAATATCTAGTTTCCCGCTTAAACTTATAAACCTCTTTACTACAAAGTTGTGAGATAAAATAAAAATAATCCATGGTGATCAACTAAAGCACTAAAAAAGAAAGTTAAAGAATGATGAAGGTTAGGTTTTTTTAAAGTTTCTGTTGCATGTCGGGCTCTAAGCCACATCTTCAGCACTTAATCTCTTTGTCAATCTAGTATGCCTAAATATGACTATGTGGCATCTGGTTTCTTAACTATTTCTGTTCATTTAATATGTATATACTACGTAGTTTTTATTAATTTTGTATTAACATATAACATCCAAATTCCTTTTTCTTATAGTTTTAATTTATGTATATTAAAAATATGTGATTTTATTGTAGTGTCTGAACTCTTGAGTAGTTTCTGCTAGCTTTTAGTTAAGTTGTCAAAATGGGATTGTAACGGAGTTATCAGGGTGTAGGTTATCCAACTGAGCACTAAAAGAGGTATGACGCAGTGTTTTGAGCCAAATATCTCCTTGTATACATCTGGTTTACGTCTAGGAATTTTTTCTATGGCTTTTGTTGTCGAAAGCTAGTTGTGAAAACGTTTTTACAACTTCGAAAATAATCCGGAAACATAAAAGAGATCTGATTGTGAAAACTAAGAAAAGCAAAGCAGTCTCAAAACTAAGAAGTTGTAAATTGTCAAACTTGTATTTAATATTTTCGCATTCGGTATACGTGTCTCGCAATATCGGTATTGAAAACCGGTTTTTGTCTCGCAAAGCGCAACTTTTGGACACTATTGTCGCGAGTGCCATACAGAGGATTAATGCGGATTATCACAATTTAAATTATTATCTGTGCTTCATTGATAATTGACATCGGACAATAAGCCCTAGTAAATGTCAAGAAAGGCTTATACATGTTAAACCTGTTTCATATAAACAACACTACAATAGGTTTGTCTCTTAAGAAAACAAAGCCATCACTATTTCTGGCCACTTGCGGACAGTATAATAATGAATTAAATAATTTAAAATTAATATAACTTAATATTAATAAACGATCCAATATTAAAAATAATAAATGAATATTTAATACCTATCATACGGGTGTTCCATTGTTAAAAAGAGACAAAAGCTATTGTAATTATGGTATCGTTGTAAATTTTCACTTGAACTCATCCAATATGGCACGTTTGTATTAAATATTTTCCTAAATCGTTGCTAGCTTTTATAATGTTCCGCTATTCGGTAGACTACTGCTGAGAAATTTTAGTAATAATTGTTAGTGTTATCCATGAAAAAGGAAAAATTAAACAATTAAAAAAGTATAATGGTAATGGTAAATTCAAGTTGTTTACTTGTAAATGACGCATTGCGTTAAGCGCGAGAGGCCCTGGGTTTGGACTTTGAAGAAACACGTAAGTTTTTCTGTCGGGCAGGGCACAGAAGTCTGATCACCTGCTTACCTGTAATAAATAATTCGAAACAGACAGAAATGAGTGGGCCCGCAGGGAGGACACATAATGCCGAGAATTTCCGATGGTTTCGAAAAAAAATTACAAATGGTAAAAAGCGCTATAATTTGTGACTTTGCCAATAATTACTAGATTAGTTCTTCTCTAGCGTAGGTGATTAATGTAAGGTTTTGTTATTTATTATTCTAATGGGAAGACTTGGATTGTTACGGTCTATGTGATTCTGTAATGTTTATCGTAGTGAAAATTGTGAAGTATTAAAATAAGATTTCTTTTGTTATCTCCCTACTATATGTATTGATGTTAGTATTTTAATATAGGTTTTGAATTCACATGTCTTATATATTTCCGTGTTGTACCAAAAATTAGATTAACGGTCGGCTTGGAAGGTGATTCTTAACTATTTCACTAAAATACACACATTGTTCAAAGAGTTAACGGCTATCCTTATGCCGATTTCTGGCTTAACAGTTGGTTTACATTAATAATTCTTAATGAAATTGGATCTAAGTGTGTAACTACTTCCTTAGAAGAAGTCGGCGCAAATCTTGTCTCTTGGTGAAGATGGGTCCTTTAGGTGTATTGAGTTATTAAGCCGGTGAAGTAAAGCTGACCGCACTGTTGTAAAGTATTTATGTACTTACACGTTTTGAACGTTTGATAATTCCATTATATTAAAGAATCGTATCATAGTTTGAATGTTGATACTGAACTGGTAGTGACATCTTTAGATTGGCCTGTATGAAAAAAAATTGTATTTTAAAGGTTTCATACATCTGACTATTTGTAAATAGGGGTACACTGTCACAAGATACGTACCGGTGGTTCTTGAATAACTATTTGAATTGAAACTAATTATTATCACAAAGATAAATTGTAAAATGAGTCTCTAGATTACCTGGTATGTTTAATTTTTTACCTGTATACATCAACTCAAAAATAACAGTAGAAAAGTGAAATGATTAAAACAATATTTTCATTGGTTAGTCTAAGTATACAAGATAACAAATAATATCTGAACACAAAACTTGCAAATATTCTGGGAGTTTCCAGCTTTAGCTTCAAATTTGTACTAAATGTGTATTCTTATTTACAATGTTTAAAAGTTACGCACATGTTACTGACTCAAAAAGGAATTAGCTTATATTTCACACCTTTGAGTGCTTGGTCAGATGTGTGTCTGCCTTTATATTCCACGGCCCATTTCAAGTATTCTAATATTTTGATTATTAATGTAATTTTTTCAAGATCCTAGTATAGTATTGAAGGTAATAGGATGTGTCAGGATAGGTGTATTTTATAATATAGCTTTGCTACTGTTTAATTATTGTAATGTTTATCCTCTAGTCTCAATCTTGTAAAGACAATGTATGAAAATTAAAGATTTAATTTTTTAACATTTGGTTTATAATGTTTCAGCAATTTGAGTTTTATTTGTTCCTTACAAACTTGTACATTATAGAAAAGAAAAATTTCATAATTTAAATTTTTTTATTAGCAAATACATAAACCATAGTTAACCCTAATCCATTCTTGTCTTGACGTGTTTCTCAGTAATTTTATCTTTTTCGACAATGTACACAACAGCACCCCAACCGGAAATAGCATCACGATCTGCTGCATTAACTAATGCCTGTAAATTTAATTTTAATTAAAGATAGTGCTACTTCTCTCATTTAAGAGCTAGATGTAAATATAATTTTTTTCTTAAGATTTCCTGGTTAGTAAATATGATTTACCTGTGAAATAGTTTCAAACAGTTCATCAGGTTTCAAGTTTGGCTCCCACAGGGCTTCACACATACCATATAACTGTTCTGAACATGTTCCAGATACAACAAAGTCTTCTGGTTCATTTGGACATCCAATCTGGAAAAAAAGAATATAAGAATATTGTTTAGAAAATTAAATTTTTTTCATGCACATACTTTAAGGCTAAAGCTTTATTGTGTTCTTTAATCATATACAACAATTTCTAACCTTGGCCAAAACATAAATAGTTATAAGAAATGCTCACCAGATCCATATTGCAAACATAAGGTTCATTTGTGTAGGGGTCTAACCCAGCAATAACAGGTTCAATGAAGTAAGGTCCAAATCTCCTCTCATATAACAAGTTTGAGAGCATTGCGGAGAATGTCTTAGGCTTCATCATTCTATTTTCTTTCAGTTCATACAAGTTCATTCTAAAGTAAGAAAAAATAAAGATTATCTATGGGGATTGTATAAAAAAATAAATTGACAGTATAATTACAAATTGCACATAATTTTGTTTTCATAGAAGGCTAAAGCTGGATATTTGGGTTGAAATAAATTTATATCAAACTTTTGACAAACTAATTGAACTTAATTGTGCAATCATTGTCTCAATACCATAAAATATAAAATGACTGATGAGTCGGCAATATTTCAGTATAAAAAGTTAAAAATTTCAAGACTAATATGAAGATATGTAATATTATTATTACCTAAATTTAAGTCTTTGAAAAACTGTTTGTGTATCTGTTGCGAGGCCAGGCAAACCAACAAACAGTGATGGTCCCATTTGGAATACTTTTGGGAAGTTGGTGGACACTGTCTGCGCTTGGATACCATAACGTTTGTCTGTGGCTATGGCCACACAGTCTTGGCCTTTCATTGCCACTACGGCACCTCCATTGTAAGCTAAAATCGACTGAAAACAAAGGCAGTCAAATTTGAATATCATCTCAGTATGACTTTTAAAGACTGTTAAGAGATGAAAAATATAAGATAGCGATAGACTAAAGTCATTATTTAAAATTAAGAAACAGTTAAAAACATACACAAACTAAAATAACCAAATACCGGTAACATATTACCAACAAACTTATTATTTCGTATTGTCACATTAGTACGTACCATTTTTTTGCGGATTTATATTAATATTTTATCCACAAACTTCCTAACACTGTTATAATTACAAACTTAGATTTTAATACTTCTATGATTAACAAAAATCGAAAAATGACATATCATCGGCTTTGCCACAGATAATACATATTTTAAAGACCGGACAGATAATAAAATAATAACGGATTGTTAATCTTTGTTAGCACAATTTTGTAACTTTTGACAATCAGTTTCAACTCTTTGTCACGTATTCGATGATAACTAAATGATGGTAACTATTGGTATTTTGTAACTTGGTGAGTTACGGTGACTAACATGGCGGAAGTCACTTATAACGTAAACACGATTTTTATCGACATTATTCGACTAAATTGTGAAAGCGTTGTATCCAGTGATAATACACGTACTTTAAGAACATTTTATTTTGACTACTTATGTCCTTGAAAATTACGGCTTGGCGGCTATTTCGAATACTTTAAAGTTAAATACTGTCTATAGTTTACGCGAGTAGTACACATTTAAATAAAACACTTTAACGGTTTAAAACGCGAAATTAGTTAAACTTATTTGAAAATATTTTTAACTTCGGCCCGACGTTTCGGATGCTTGCAGAGCGGGTCACGGGGAGACATCATTTTCAAATAAGTTTAACTAATATATCGCGTTTTAAACCGTTAAAGTGTTTTATTTAAATACTTTAAAGTTCTTATTTCATTTTTGTTTATGTTATTGTTAATTGAAACGTTGTGAAGAGTTAGTTGTTAACTATAATGGATCGGAGAAGTGTAAAGTTAGTTAAATTAATAACATCGGCTGTACAATTGTGTTTTAACAAACTAAAACGTACAATCGCTTTAAAATGCCTGACGAGAAAAGTAGTGGAAGGCAAATGGAATTGTGGTGGAGTTTGGGAAAGGAACCCCAATATAGATTGGGAAAAAGGCCGTAGCTGTAGAAGGATTGCCTGGTGTAGATCATGTATCGGTTAGTAATCTAAAAAATAATTATCAAATCCAAATGCATAGAAATGATTTTAAATTTTTTTATTTGTTTTTCATTCCATTAAAATATGATTTTTAGGTCCCACCTATCTCTTCTCAAAGCACATTCATACAATCGACGTCAACTCCGGAGCCGGCAGATATGCATATAGAATGGCTAGAAGAAGATATAGAGGATAATGAAACTCAGTCACAATCTGAAACATCTAAGGACGGAGGTTTGTGTAAGACATTTTAAAGTCTGTTACCTACTATTATAAATAATATCTTTTAGATAATAATTTGCTGTGACATAGTGTGTGTGTTTACTATGACTAATGTGAAATATGTATAATATTAGTTGTAACTATGTTCACAGAAGTTGTATTCACCAACTCACCACCAATGTTGTACCAACCAGCGAACCACCACCACAACACGACCACATACAACAACTCTACTACAACGACGAAGTATCAAATTTTCTCTTATTTATTAATGAATAATTCTTGCAAAATTTTTTTATTATGCACGAGACTGACTCTTTTTTTATTTTGTAATACTATAAATAGATTTAATGTGAAATATGTATATGATATTAAAAGCTACACAACTAAAATAATACATACATAAAAATTAGTTCCTTTTGCAAAGGTTGCAAAGCTGGTGAAATATGTCAAGAATAATTTTTTATTCCTAACACGGCTTGCTAAATTTAGGATAACATAATAATTTTTCTTCATTAATTACAGTTCGTCAACGTGAAAGGCCACCACCTCAATATTATCTTCTATCTTAGGCTATTCAAATCGAAAGAAGACGTGACAGGGAAGAGAGAATGGCAAATAATGTGCAATCACTTGCTGAATTAATTAGGGAAATTAGAGAGACAAACATTTTGTTAATAAATAGAAGAGAAAAATGGTAAATTTTTATTCTGAGAAAGTCCTCTAAATTAATACAATTATTGACTTTTAATGTTAAAGCGTATTAAAAAAATTACAACTAATTATTTACAACATCTAACATTATGGTACACTTACAAACCTTAAAATATATGCTATTTATATCATAACTGGAATTTAACTTAAATTAACTAAATAAAGTTAGATTTTAAATAAAATCATATATCTAATAATATACAAAAAATTAAGATTACACATTATAAAAATAAACTTATTAACTATTTCTATTAAAAAACTAAAGTACTTGTCTTATTATAAAAAAAATATTCCGAATCCCACATTCTCTGTACAAGAGTTTTTTATTTTGTTCTTCAGCTAAACTCAACATAATTAGACGTGCCATAATTCTGCAATATTATGAAACACAAATAAAAATCACTAAACGACAAGAAAAATAATAATCACATTGTTAATCACCAAAATATAAGAATAAAAACTCCTTTGAGTAGTGTTTTCAACGATCAAAGTGAAAACAGTTTGATGATAATAAGCGTACAAAATCGCAAGTTTTCAAATATCGATACAAAAACTCATTTACGGTGACGATCAACAATCTCGTTCTTTTGACGTCATAATCGTTAGCAATCGAAAATAGCAAATACCAAACTGGCTCTTTGACAGATAGTTGTTGTCAACTAATGTCTAGTGATTAAACTATTGAGTTACAAAATCGCCTTTAGTCCATAGTTTAACTTAATAATATATTTATTATGGTGCCGTTTCCACCGTGTAAAATTTCCTATCTATATATAGTAATATATAAAGCTGTAGAGTTTGTTTGTTTCTTTGAACGCTCTAATCTCAGGAACTACTGGTTCGAATTGAACAAGTCTTCTTCATTTTTTCGTCTACAAGCGAAGATATAGGGTTATATGTGAAGAAAATTGGGATAATAATTCATCATTATTCAAGATACTTTAAAAATATGTATAAGAGAAAGATCCCTTTTTAAATGATTTAAAAAAGTCCGCGATGCTACATGTTCGTGGTGGGTCATGTTTTATTATTATATATAAGTGATTTAAAAATAGACATGAAAAATTTATTGATTTTATAGATTTTAATATTTTTTTGTAAGGTTTTTTTATTTGTATATATGTTCTAAATAACATTATGTTAACGAATAATTTATTGGTAACATTCATAATAGTTAATGTCATATTATTGGTTGTCACCTTTATTTTCGACAATATTTTGAAGACTTTCCGCGTACATATCCAATCTTGAAGTCATGTTAAAACCCCACTGATCCTTAACTTGCCTACATGCATTTAAATCAACTTCAGCTGTAAGCAAACCGTCTTTTTGCCTAGACATCATTGGTGTTCTGATACCATTCGGGGCTGTGACATAACTAGAGCCGTAATAAGTCCTCTTTATTACCTTATCATTGAGATTAAACTCCTCTGTGCCAACCCTGTTGATGCTGCAAGTAAAATAACCGTTCGCTATTGCAGCATTTCTGGCTTCGATTCCCCAAAAGGACTCTCCAAACTCGGAGATAGTAGCGGCAGGGTTGAAAACTATTTCAGCGCCATTTAAACCAAACATTAACCAGTTTAAAGCATGATGTCGTCCATAACATATATTAATAGCGATTTTTGCATATTTCGTGTCGAAAACCGGGTGATTGGTATTGCCAGGTGAATAATAAGCGGTTTCACTAAAACTGCCAACACTTGGCAAATGATTTTTGCGGTGCTTACCCAAATAGTGTCCCTTCTCGTTTATAACTACCGCCGTATTCCACCAGGTGGCGTTTTCATCAATTTCTAGAATCGGAGATATTATTACCATTTCGTGTTTCTTAGCTAATTCACTTAAGAACATAGTACTGGGGCCGAATTGAGCCGATTCGGCGAATTGCGACCACTTTTCTTTTTCCCTGGTACAAAGGAAGAATGGCATAGCCCACGTTTCTTGTAAACACAAGATTTTAACCCCTTCTGACGCTGCTATTTCTATGATTTTCTTTACTTTATGAAATATTGCTGTTCTCTGTTCAGTAATCGGCTTATGCGTTGGCAAAACAATGGAATGCTGTACTAAACCTAACCTCAAAACTCTCGGTTGCCGCAATTGTTCTTTTGTCGCATCGAACGAATATCCAAAAACATCGAAATTATCGTTTTCACTGGCCTTTTTTGTTTCATCTTTGAGTCGAAGCGTACTATGATCCTTTCGTCCAAAGAAAATTCTATTGAACTTGTCTACTTCGTTTTTAGGTAACTTTTTAATTAAAATTTCGTCCACCGAGTCCATATTACTTGAATGAAATGAGACACGATAAGTTGATTATTGCGTAACCATTTGCCTCGATAGTACATTGGAGTTTAGTTTCTATTTATACATACTTGATGTATTGACTATTAACTGGTTCTCGGTGTAATTTGAATGCATTTGCACAAGCTAGGAATAAATCCGATCACGTAGGCTGCATTACTTAGATGAAATAAATAATAATACGCAGTTAGAATTCATTTTATCATCCACTAGCTCGATCCCTCATAGTTGTTTGAGATAGAATATGAAAGTGTAAATTATTTCTCATAATATTCAATACAAGTTGAATATTTTTTCCAGATTTTGAAACATAAATTATTATTTATTCGCCTGTACAATAAGCTACCTAAAAGTGATATTATTTTTTTATATCAAGGGTCGCGTTGAACGTTATAAAAACAATCTTCAGTTTCATGATGTGTATATATATGGCTGTGTTTATCCCTTTTTTAACATTAAGATTATCGACCTATCCCTCGAAATACTGAAATTTCTATCGACAAGTTAGAAAACTAGTTTTGTTTGGATATTCTTATCTTATAATTGAAACTTATGCATGAATGCCACATTATCTAGCAATAAACACACTAATGAGATGTACTCGTTAACAACAACCAAACATAAGCTTAGATATTGTTTTATTCGTATCGAGAGGGTTAAGGTCATCGCGCTATAATCAAGCCACCCATGGCGATAAACAACCACCCAATTAAATGCACCACATACAACCAAAGAGCTATTTAAGGCGACGAACGATCGAGAAAATCTAGTCATAATACATTAACTCACCAGACCGGACGCAAACATGGACGGCGAAACTAAGAGTCTCGAATCGATCGTAGAAAACAATCTTACCGGCCGCGATTTAGAGGAATTCAACAGGATCTACTATGGCAGAAAGAGCCATCACGAAGTACAGCTGAAGGAAACCTCCATCGCCGCCGCAAAGGAGAATGACTTCGAAGTAGCCGCTTACGCATTTCCCGCCAAGAAAGAGCACACCAGGCCTCCCAGGATCGTAAAGGTAGGAGTCATCCAACACTCCGTAGCCATCCCAACCGATCGTCCTATCAACGAACAGAAGAATGCTATTTTCGCTAAGGTTAAGAAAATCATAGATGTTGCCGGGCAGGAGGGCGTCAACATCCTCTGTTTCCAAGAGTTATGGAACATGCCTTTCGCATTTTGCACACGGGAAAAGCAGCCGTGGTGTGAATTTGCTGAATCAGCTGAAGAAGGCCCGACGACACGTTTCCTCCGCGAGTTAGCCATCAAATATGCCATGGTCATCATCTCATCTATTCTGGAGAGGGATGAAAAGCACGCAGACATCCTCTGGAACACGGCAGTCATAATAAGCGATACCGGCAACGTGATCGGCAAACACCGCAAGAACCACATTCCTCGAGTGGGCGACTTCAACGAGTCGAACTACTACATGGAAGGGAACACGGGTCACCCAGTGTTCGCGACGCGTTACGGCAAAATCGCTGTTAACATTTGCTTCGGACGCCACCATGTTTTGAACTGGATGATGTTTGGACAGAACGGCGCTGAGATCGTGTTTAACCCATCTGCGACAATCGCTGCTGATGCTGGCAGCGAGTATATGTGGAATATCGAAGCTCGTAACGCAGCTATAACTAATTGTTACTATACAGCAGCGATTAACAGAGTCGGGTTTGAAGAGTTCCCGAATGAGTTCACGTCCGCTGATGGTAAGCCAGCTCATAAGGACTTAGGTCTTTTCTATGGGTCCAGCTACTTCACGGCTCCGGATGGCGTACGTTGTCCAGGACTTTCGCGCAACAAGGACGGCCTTTTGATCTCTGTCATGGATTTGAACTTGAACAGACAGATCAGGGACCGCAGATGTTATTATATGACGCAACGATTGGATATGTATGTAAGAAGCCTGAGTAGGGTTCTGGAACTGGATTTCAAACCACAGGTCGTTCACGAAAATGACAAATGTAAGGAAAAGGAATAATTAAATACTTTTAATTGGTTGTATTCCTACGTGTAATCGATTGCATAAATTGTTTATATTATTTACGTAATAAATATTTTATAAGAAATAATTATTTTATTATATCAAGTATTAAGATGCTAATATTATGCGATAACAACTGCTATCATTTATAATTAAAGATTTTATCCATAACATATCCTTAGAAGTGAAGTCAAAGTCTTCTTTGCTCTTAGTAGGTAGGGCCTATAGGTTCGTATCTATGTCCTTTAACAAGCTCAGAACAATATCAATCAATGTTAAACGAGATGAACATAAGTTAATAATGATAAGATCCTACAGTAATTTATTTACGACTTAACTAAAATAGGATGTTTAACCTTACACATGAAGAGTATATTTTTAATATGACATAGACAACCAAAAAAAGTTTGTGGTTAAAAAAGGTGATAATAATATAGTTTTTTTTTTATAAGTTGAATATCCTATGTTAATAGACTGGGGAGCCTCTATACCGTAAGTTATGTTGTACTTACATTTTATTGTTAAATATTTATATAATGTATAAGATATATATCAACATCACTAAGTAGTAATAAGGATAATTTAAAAGTCATAGAGGAAAATGTAAAATATCACTAATCTGTTAGCTTCCACGTACAATGCGTATTGTACGTGGAAGCAAACAGAGATAAGATTTTTTAATTGCCTCAACAAGCCTTATTGCAACTTAGTAAGTTGATTTTTTTTGTGTTTCTTAGCGTCGTATGTCTGTATACAATATCGAATTCCCATTTTAATGGTTTTAAAAATGGTTTTAATTATAAATAAATTATTTATTATTAATTTCTCCTTTACAGTAAATAATATTTCGGAACTTATCGTGCAACGCCTTCTTTAGGTCATGACCAGAGATAAAAATGTTTTAATTTCATTATTTATTATTGTTTTATCAATAATATTTTAGTCTCGATTTTTTGAAATTTTCATAACATGTTTATTCCAAACATTATTATAAATAAATACAATCTTCTTTTACTGACGAAAAGAAAATCTTACCTGTATTTTTAAAAACAATATGTTTTTCATACACACAGACGATAATTATTTTTAATCTATCACTCGACAAGTGACAAGAGTGTCGAAGCGCGCGAACTCAACATTTTAATTCTAGCGCAATTTTCTCACTCCCGCCGAGAGATGTCGCTAATGTGTTGCTCTCTTGCGGATGTTGCACCATCAAGCCATCATCTTTGCAAAGTTATTATGCTTTAACAAAGAATTTTATCAGAAGGAGTTAAAGTTGCTTTTTGTTTGTTACAAAGTGATACTTAACTGTCCGTGGCAGCGAGGTTCCATTGCTTTCTAGAGCACTTGGAGCCCGTGACATCCATTACGAAAATGATATTTCGGAACGGGGTTGTGTTTTTATCACTACGACTAAACCTAAACGCGGCACACAAGGCAACTAGGCGCAAAACCTACGATTTTGTATGACAACAATACTTGTTTTCTTAATATTCACTCTGCGCCAATTATATAAGTAATTACTAGCTATATATAAGATGTGGCTTGTCCAAAAAAAAATCTCTTCAGATTCTACAAACAAAACCGTAGGTCAACGTTTAAAGTGATTGCGTTAAGCACGAGAGGTAGTGGGTTTTAATCCAAAGGAGAACTATACTAGTTCCAGAGAGAGATAATGTTTTTGACCCGTCATCCTTCCTCACATTCGGATAAAATCATTACACAAACAGTGATTTACATTTATATAATAAAAATTGTCATTTTTAAGCAAAATACTTTACGTCTATTTATATTCAACTAAATCTAAAAAGCATTTTTATTAAACTACCAGAACACATTGCTACTGGGCGCAAGAATTCACCATCCTCCTATTTACGCCAACGATCGTAAAAGTTACTGAATACTTTGTTTTCTAATGATTCCCGCATAAGTCACTGTTATTGAAATATCAAACAGTTATATGATCGCTGTCTAACAGAAAAACAGTTGCGTTTTGCTGTAAACAGTGTTGCAGGATAACTGTGCTGCAACGTATGCCAACGAACCTTTTGGCATCACATTTCTTTAAATTAAATTTAATCTTGTTATATAATTTGTCATTCTACTTACAATTGTAAAACATTGTACTAAATAAAGAGATCTATTATTATTAATAATAAAATATCTAATTGAAGCAAAAAACAAAAATACACCAAAAATACAAGGAAAATCATTATACATTTATCATCTACAATAAAATTAATAAGCATTGCGTTTGTATTTTTTTTTGCATCTGGTAATTAAGGTCGTTATATTTTAGATGAAAGATGGCCGCATTGCCGTTTCCGGTGGGACTTTTTAATTTTTCATTTACGCTCGGCGATTTCAATTATTCCGCTAATTTCTCATTAAAGTTTGCATCGTATTGTTCCCTGAATTAGTTTGCTAATTTAAATTAGTAAGCTGGTGTCAGTTAATAAGACAAAAGAGAAAAAATGAGGTTTTATATTTCAATGTAGATTTTTGTGATCGCGTAGTAAACAAAAACCGGATCTTATGTCTGTATAATATTTTCGAATAAGGAATCACGGTGAATTCTTTACCCTGTCAATATAAAACAGGTGTGGTAACATTATCACGTAGATTGAAAAATACAGAATCGAAATTCCCGCCACGTGTCCATATGACGAGTCTCGATAGCATATTTTTTCGCGCCACAATTTCGGCGAGGGATTCAATCGGCACATGCTCCGTTTCATTTCCGTTGCACTCTGTCCGCGAAGGTTTTTCAACAGACTATTGAAAAAATGTCCCACTATTACACGAACTTGATTTGACTAAGGACAGTGGAAACTAATGGTAGAGAATATATCTCAAAATATCGTAACGAGATGTTATGTAGGTACATAAGGAAAATTATAAAAGTAATTATTACACCTTTCTTTATTGAAAAAGCACTGGTTTCTTGTAAACGCCAAAGATCAACCTATAGGTTCTTCGTTATGTATAAAAGACTAGATTGATGTTGCTATAAAATTTTAATAAACGTTGAATGCTTTTTGGTAAAATCAAATTACCGTAGAACTAACCGCCGAGAACAATTGCGTTAATTTTTAAGAAAAAATGTGAAACGTGTGAGATTTTCCCATTGTTATATAAAAAGCTATTGCTTCAAATTAAGTGTTACTATTAATAAAGTGTGAACATTACGCCGATCTATTCCTTTCCTTGTTCCATTTTCACATTAGCGGCGGCAAATTGAAAAAGCACACTCGAAACCCCTTCAGTGTCACGTGTGAGCACAATAGGACATACCGCGATATTCTATACATACACGTTTTATCGTTTTAAAAAATTGACATGGCGGAAACGGAATGCCGGCTCATGAAAAAGTTGCTTTTGAGTGAAACTGCTATATTTAAAAACTCGACTATCGGATATGTTGTATGCTTATATTAGACTGCAAGTTACCTGAATGAAAGATAGAAATGTCAAAGATTCAACATTGTCTTGTTATCGATTTTAAAAATTACTTTTTATTGTTTTAAATTACAAAGTGAAAAAGAAAAGATGCTATCAAAGCTAAGCTAATAATGGGACTCTAAAAAATTATTTTACAACTAAACATACCCTGCCTAGACGATTGAGAGAAGCGCTGTTTTATTTCCGCTTAGTATAATGACTCTTGAATATTTGCCTTCAGTTTCCGCTTAACAGGTGTCGTGTTGTGTCCGGTTGTGTCAACCGATTATCCCCACACATACATTTCGTCTTACGTGTGACTCTCCGTAAGGAGGAATAATCGACGATTATAGAAAAAGTCGACCGGCCGCTTTATCAAGACCAATCGCGAAACTGCTCAAGTTGTTTCTGTCTCATGGATCTCCGTGGAATGGCTAAGATAGTAAGATCTATCTTAGCTAGTCCACGGATGTCGGGCTGACAGCAGGGGCAGACTGACCCTAGTTTGCACTGATCACCGAATGCTCGATCGGTCGACCCAGCCCCAAAGACTGTCGTCATCCGAGCCCCGAAGACCCATTATGGGAACCTCTGACAGAACAAGAGCGAGGACAAGGACAAGATCGTCTGCAAACGCCAAGTGTTAAAATTAGGAAATTCAAATATTACGTAAGTATTTTAGAATGTTCTTAAAATTATATTTTATTCTAAAGTATTTCTTTTTCTTTTACCGGGTTTACCGTTCGGCTAACGTGGCAGTGAATAGTAGATTATATATTTTACGCTAAATAAACACTATTCTAGTATAATAATTAGAAAATGATAAATTGCCCAATGTTTAGAGAGCATATGACGCAATAAGTAAGAAAGTGCAGTTGGTAATTATAATTACTCCATAATTGGATGGGTCGCGGCATGGGGGTTGTAATTCAATAATGCAATATGATGGATCGTGTTGAATTTACCCACATATAATGCTAGGCTAATATAATATATCAGCAATAGGACACACACAAAACTTTGTTCTACATTACGATAGAGCCCAAGATTTTACCTGTGTTTGCAAGACCTCAACAAAAAGCAATAGAATATTTCCCGTTTAGCCACATAATATAAAAAACAATGATAAATGGGATGATTTGATAATATTCGCCAAGTACCAACTACGACGGAACAGATGACGATAGCGTAGCAGTTTTTACTTTGAAATTAGAGACATCCTCCATCTTTAGTCTCCCCCTGACCGCGGCTACTGCAACGTTGGGCCGAAAGTAAAATTATTTTGTAAATTTAACTATTAACATTGCACGTTTTAAACTATTAAAAGTGTTTTATTACAATTTGTACTACTCGTGTAAACTGCAGACAGTATTTGATTTTAAAACATTTTGTCTGACAGTCTTAGAGGGGTCACATAAATAATAGAGCACAATACCATCAATAAATAGATGATCACTCCCGCGTGTATAATCTGTCATTTATGGCAAGGACATTTTAAAATTGGAACAGGTCATCCGTTATGCCGTGACCAATGTAAGATGAACTTTTAAGTT